AAAATTCCATGTAATTTCTCCATTTTTATAATTGTGCACTTTCATAAGCTTTATTCATGCAACCATCTTATGACTTTTTTTTCTTTTTTAGGAAGGGTCAGGCCTTGTTGCCCAGCCTGTCCATGAACTTGACATTTTCCTGCCTCAGCTTCCTAACTAGCTGAGATTATAGGCATGTACTGCCATACCTGACCAAATTGTTTTTTCAATTTGAATTATTATTAATTATTCATATAGCTACTAATTTGATATATGTGGCTTATTAGTGACAAAGAAGGTTTAAATTTTTCTTTCTTTTTTTGAGACAAGGTCTCAATGTTTAGCTGTGGGTGGCCTGGAATTCATGCCTCAAACTCAGAGATCTGTCTGCCTCAGCCTCCCCAGCGCTGGGATTAAAGGTGTGCACCACCACTGCCTGCCTGCCTAGACTTAAAAGTTTTCGAATGTGGTTGCTGCCAGCATCTCTTTTGAAGTGCCAGAGAAGCATGAAATCACTCGTTTGCAGCGAAATTTGTAACAGAGACTCTCAGACCTGTGTACCAGGCTCTTAAAGGACTATCAGGAGTATGCTGAGAAAGAAAAGGTTTCTACTGAACTAGAAGTTGGGAATCACACAAAGAAAAGCCTGCAAACTATCTTTTTAAAGATTCATCTTCATTTCATTATGTGTCTGTGCACGTGGATGCAGGTACCTGGCAGGCCAGTGGCATCAATCCCCTGCAGCTGGACTTACAGGCAGTCGTGAGTCCGACGTAAATGCTGGCAAACAACTATGGGTCCTCTGCAAGAGCAGACTTCACCCTTAACTCCTGAGCCATCTCTCTGGCCCCGGAAAACATTTCCTGAGCTTGCCTACCACACTGAAAATGGATTTCTCATATAAGGAAATCGAGGACTATGGATTTCATCAACTACGGCTATGAAGATAGTCATGAGACTTGATGGGTTCTGGAGAAGAGTTTTATTTCTTCCTGATGCCTTTCTTCTTACTTGAAGAAGACGAGGAACTATCTTTCTCATTTGTGCTAGTATCTTACAGGAACTCAATGTGCTAAAATGAAATAGGTCTTGGGATTATGGTTGTAATACATGGTCTGGAATCAGCTTTAACTATACCCTGTGTGCAAATGATATACTCATATGATGGTTAGGGCAGCCTGACTTCTTCATTTTTGCTGCAAAGGGCATCAGGTATACTGAGCTATTATGGCCACTGTTCTTGAAAGCAGTTGGCTATGAAGTCTTTTCTCTGAGAGAGCTAATGTTCCAAGAACGAATCTGGGCACAATCAGTTTTAGTTAACTTAGGAGTATGGTTTTATTTCTACATAATAACAGTTAAATTGCTAGTAACCAGATATGGTGCTGCATGTCTTTAATCCCAGCACTCAGGTAGCAGAGGAAGGTGGATTTATGTGGATTCCAGCCCAGCCTGGTCTACATAGTGAGTTCCAGGCCAGCAAGCTGTATATAGTAAGACCCTGTCTCAAAATAAAACCACCACAACAAAAAACAAGATTGCTGGTGGCCTGAAAGAGTAAAGGGGAAGGCAGCTTTTACCAGCCACCTTCCCCTTTAGAGAGGTGCTGGATTAAGATGTGAAAGCTTCAAGAACACTGAACACTATTCTAGAGCTCACACTGTTGTTCAGAAGGACGTGGAGGACCTATGGAGGAAGTCTAAAGTACAACGAGTTTATGTTGCCTGCCTTCAACCCAAGTTAGTAAGCTACATTAACCAGCATATCACTTACTTTATTTTTGTTCGTCTATTCTTTTCTATAATATCTGTAATCATGAAAATGGAATAAATTCTAAGGGTAAGTTTTTATTATTTCAGAAAGCAAAACTTAAATTTTTCCTTTATTTTAAGTAGTTTATTAATAAGGGGCAACAGGCTTGAGAGATGGCTCAGAGGTTAAGAGTGCTTCTTGCTCTTCCAGAGGACCCAGGTTTGGTTCCCAGCACTCAGATGGCAGTTCACAACTGTCTGTAACTCTAGTTTCATGGAATTAAACAACCTTTTCTGCCCTCTGTGAGCACCAGGCATGTGCATGGTATCCAGACATACATACATGCAAAATACCCGCACACATAAAAATAAATAAATAAAATCTCAAAAGGGGAAGCAATGGAACAGCCATCTTCCAGTAATTCATTAAAAAGCACACACAAAGGGAAAGACAGCTGATGTATGTTCTTTAGGCCTTTTGGAAAGCACAGGGGTATTCCTTTGTCCACATACACGTGACTCTACAAGAGTGATATTTCAGACATCAAGGGAATGAACAGCTTAAAAAGAAATGTGCCAAGAATGTTACTATGGAAAAACTGTAAGAGTCTACCTGTCACTCAGCACAGTGTTGAGCATGCTGAAGACTCTAAGAGCCAAGGTAAATTTTTTTAAGTGGCAAATATCTATCCACAGTTTGGACTTCTTCAATATGAGTTAATGTGCTAATATGTTTTGGAACACAGAGATGAACAACAAAAACAACAAATGGGTTTTGAGCCTCAGGAATCACTGCTCATGTTTTTAAGCTTTTTCTCTACTGAAATTCTGAATAAAGCAAGCTTTCTCCCCCAGTATTGCTGTTTCTCAGCTGGCTTACAGGCTTCTGGTCTATTCCCAGTTGCTGGTTATAAAAACTTTTCAACAGTAACTCAAGATTATTTCAGTCCACTGGTGGACCAGGTTTGGTCACGACACCCTTACTGAGAGTGACACTATTAGAATTTTTCAAAACAAAACAGAATGGAAAACGCAGTGATACAATTCTCTGACTGGATAAAAATTAGTAACGGTTGGAATTGCTTGGGAATACAACCTTCATGTATTCCTAAACCATTTGCCTCAGTTTACCTTCGGTATTGAATCCATCCACACAGAGTGACTTCTTGGCCTAAGTGGGAAGAACGCAATTCTCCACATGTGTTGGTCCGAGCAACAAAGCTACTAAATTCTTTGAAAAAAGAAAAAAAAATAATTAAAAAAAGTTTAAATGGCAATAGTAAAAATATTTGTAGTTTGTTTAAAATATCCTCCATTCATGGTATATTAGGTGTTTCAGGTCAATGGGTGAAGTTAATAAAATTTTTAAATTACATTTGTGTGTGTGTGTGTGTGTGTGTGTGTGTACCATACAAGTGGGAGCCCATGTGTCATGGTGCACCTGGGGAGGTCAGAAGACAAGTTGTTGGATTCTGTTCTCTTCTTCCAACTACAATATGGGTCCGGGAATGAATTCTGGTTTCCAGGCTTGGCAGTAAGCGCCTCAACCCACTGAACCATCTTGATAAGCCTGATGAGGTTTATAAATAGGCTAGATCATACAGTTTCTCTCTTGCGTTTACATGCAAATGTGTCAAAGCCCAAGTGAATTACTATCCCAAAGTAAAATTCTGCATTCTGTTTAGAAATCTAAACTTTTTTTTTTTTTTTTTGGTTTTTCGAGACAGGGTTTCTCTGTGCAGCTTTGCGCCTTTCCTGGGACTCACTTGGTAGTCCAGGCTGGCCTCGAACTCACAGAGATCCGCCTGGCTCTGCCTCCCGAGTGCTGGGATTAAAGGCGTGCGCCACCACCGCCCGGCCTGAAATCTAAACTTTTTACATGACCTAGCACTTGCATGAACCTAAAATTGCAGTTGTACAATTTTAAATTTTTTTTTTTTTTTTTTTTTTGGTTTTTCGAGACAGGGTTTCTCTGTGTAGCTTTGCGCCTTTCCTGGAACTCACTTGGTAGTCCAGGCTGGCCTCGAACTCACAGAGATCCGCCTGGCTCTGCCCCCCGAGTGCTGGGATTAAAAGTGTGTGCCACCACCGCCCGGCCAATTTTAAATATTACATGTTTCTTTGCCAAGTGAAATATGATCTTAGAAATTATCTGTTTGGCAGTGCAGTTACTATTCAGCTATAGTACAAATCTAGTTTATAACAATCATTTGTACAACAATAAATTATTAAAAGTGTGAAAAAGATTTTATTTAATTATTATTTTTTAGTTTTTATATTAATAGTACTAACTAAACAGAGACTGTCCTATGGGCGGCTATTATTATTTTTTTTAACTAAAGAAAAAAAATCTTGATTATAAGTAATGAAGAGAATGAATGACCTACTATAAAAATGCAGTTAAGACTGGGGAAACAAGGTATCAGAAACAGGCGGGAGCTCGTCGCTGCTTTCACCTGGAATTCTTTGTGAACTCAACGCCAGACTTCTGGAGAGAGAACCCCAGATTGGCTGGGTGGTCTTTCCGATGGGTCTGGATAAACCCTTGCACAGACGACTTAACCAAGAACCAAGATACATGTTGAAGTCCCAGGTTCGCCAGAGACAATCACGAATCCCACGCTGCGGGTGTGGTGGTGCTCAAAACTCGGTTTCCAGAATACCTGGGAACCCTTACAATTCCAGTTCCCACTCAAATGCATCCAGACCCGCCACCGCAGAACGTTCAAGTACAATACAGATTAATCCGCAAAGTCGGTCTCTAGGGCCCTTGGGTGAGCGGACAGGGCAAAACCTTCAGTGCATCAGTCCCCGCTTTAATTAAACAAGGCTGCAGCCCCAAGACACCAAAAGATCTCAAACCGCGGGCGAGCGCGACCCAGCCCAGTCCAGACCCGGGGAGGCCGGTCACCAGGCGCGCGTCCTTCCTTTAGTCCCACGTTTTCTCCAAGGTGACCAGGGCATAAGCAGAAGGAGGTTCAACCTCGTGTTTCAAATCTCCTGAACTTGGCGGCCCATATTGAATTTTTGAAAGCGAACAAATCCCAGCTGCTCGGAGGTTCGAATCCCGACACAGATCACATTCCGAAGCCAGTCCCTCTCACGCCCTGCGAGCGCCAAACTGACGTAAGGTATTCGGCCAATCAGAGCGAGGGCGCCTCCGCCATGTTTATTGTGGGCGGAAATTTGAGAGAAAGCTTCGCATCGGTTGTAAAACGGAAGAGCAATGCGGCGCAATCGGGAATTTGACGGGACTGATAAAAGCTCTGCCCTCAGTTAAAATGGCGACGTCGGTTGCTCATTTACGTGAAATCGGCGGGCCACAGAAGAGGCTGTCTGCGTCGGCCGCAGAGCGAGTCGGGAAATGATTTTAAACCGGAGGGCGTGGAGTGCGCGGAGTTGCGCCTTTGCGAAGGGAGTTTTTAGCTCTACTTTTGATCACAGCAGAGCTTCCGAGAAGGGGCTTCGGGGACACCTTGTCTTTCGTGGGCAGACGCCAGCTCCGGAGGAGTGAGGGTCGCAGAGCCGGGCCTCTAGGGAAGCGGAACTGTCTCTCCCACGGTGAAGTCGCAGTGTTGCCCGCGTCTGAGGGGCCCAGGGTTCCCTCGCTGGCCTTGATGTCTCTTCTGAACTCACCAGGGATTGCTTCGGTTCTCTCTTAACAGTCATTTTGGCCTTTGGCCGCTTTCTTTTTTTCCTAAAAAAACAAAACAAAACAAAAAATCCCCAAAAAACGAAAAAACCAAAAATATCTTCTCGACGTAGTCTTGGAGCCAGACTTGAAGAATGATTCGTGCATCCGGAATGGATGACAGCATCGTTACGACATATTTTTGGTAAGATGTTTTGGGTGGGTCCTGCACTGACTATGTACTGCCTTGAGCTGTGTTGTGAGGTCACTGTCTGTCCAATGCTTTTGTGTGTTTAGATGGACACACACTGGAGTTAACGTTCAGATGAGCGTTGGTGTTGGGGCAGCCGGTTGACTGTTGTGGCAATATTGCCCCTTTTTTCATGAGAAGTAACTGAGTTTTAGTTGTGTGTTATGAACTGAGTACAAGAGGATTCGGCAAGCAGTGTTGTTCTGTGGATACTAAAAAGCTGCTGGAAGAGTAAAACTTGGGAACTATTTCGGACCCTTTCCCCTCTGTCAACTGGCAACGTAGTGGCTTACATAATGGGTCATTTGAGGAGTACTAGATGTGTCCCAGCACAAGGGAGGCTGAAGCAAGAGAATTGCTGTGAGTTCTAGGCCAACCTGAGCTACACAGTCACTCTTTATAAACAAAACACCCCCCCCCAACAAAAGGAGAATATTTGTTAAAGGCGTGATATTTGTTAAGTGATTACAAACAAATCTGGAAAATAATGAATGCTTAGCAATTATTGTACCAAATAACATACTTCAAAGAACAATTCTGTAGTCTGAACGCACTAAAGTGCACACTGGAAGGCTCACATCATGGAAATACTTAATGCCTATGGGAAAATGAAAAATGCCTATTTAAATGTTGCATCCCTATCTATGATGTTTTTAATTTTATTTTTTAAACATAGTACATGTGTGTTCTATGGGTATGGTGGTCAGAGGACATCTTGCAGAAGTCAGTTCTTTCCTACTGTATGAGTTTCAGGAATTGAACTTAGGTTATCTGGCTTAGCTGCAGGTTCCTTTACTGGCTGAGCCATCTGACCAGCCCTGGAGTTTGGAGAATCCAGACAAAGCTAAGGTCCCAAAGCCAATGGAGGAGGAATCGATGGCACCAGATTACTATTCCCCTAATATAGACAACTGGCTCTTCCAGGTGATTTACCCTCCCTGGAGAATGTTGCCACCACCCTCCTCTGTGGTACACCACTCCTGTGGAGGAGGAAATGGCCATGCCCCCGGAGGTATGTGTGAGGGTCATCATGCTTTCCAGACCATCGTCATCACAGGAACCACTCTAGTCCCAATTGTCGATCAACAAATCCATTGACAATTGCACTGTCTTTACTCCAAATCCTGTCTGGCTCAGTTTTGTCGCTTTTCTGGCTGAGGGAGGGTTGGTAGGAAAGGAAATCCCTTACTAAGGCAGGTTTGGAAGGCATCAGTTGAGGCATTTCGTCTGCAGGTCAAGTTTTGGCTACAGGCTGCTGGTGTGGGGTTGTGTCTGTGGAGATACCCTCCAGTTTTTTTTTTTTTTTTTTTTTTTTTTTGGTTTTTCGAGACAGGGTTTCTCTGTGTAGCTTTGCGCCTCTCCTGGAACTCACTTGGTAGCCCAGGCTGGCCTCGAACTCACAGAGATCCGCCTGTCTCTGCCTCCCGAGTGCTGGGATTAAAGGCGTGCGCCACCACTGCCCGGCTACCCTCCAGTTTTTTGACCAGGAAGTTCACCTCTTTCTGGCTGCTGAGGGTGTTAAGTGGCAAAGCCCACAGGGTTGAGCCGTGCTCCTGCTTGGGAACATGGTTTTCTTTTTTGTTGGTCATCTGGGGCCAGTCGTGCCTGGACATTCTGTTGCTTTGCAGCCTCCTTCAGGAAAGGGGGGCATACTGTGAGGTAGCTGCCTTTCCTCTTAGGACTGGCCTTGGCTCCCCTGATAGAGTTTTCCAACCTCCAAGGACCCTGGGAGAGAGCCATCCACCCACCATGCCACTTGTCTTGAATGTTCTGTCTTGTGTGTGCTCACACAAACTCACTTCCTGTCTTCCCTAACTTTTTGAAATTGGCAAGGCAGATTAGAAGCAGCTCTTTAGGGTCATCAGGAAGCCCCTGTTTTGCCCATCATTCATGGTGGTCTTGCAAGTCTGCTTGGCAACATGTATAGTTTGTTGGCAACATCAAAAACATTGTTTGACTTATTCTAGAGCTCATACTATAAAGTTCTTGTTTTGGCATTTCTCTTCACAGCACTAGAACAGTGACTAAGACAGGAAATAAGAGGATGCTGTGGCAAAGGGAGGGAGTGGGAAGGAGAGAGAGTAAGAAGTACCTGTAGAGCAGTGTGCATGAGTTAACTTTAGTGCTTAGAATTCTAGAGTTGTTTTTTTTTTTCTTATTGCAGACCATGGATCCTTATGACTCACGAGGGCCAACTCCTAGACGAGGTCCCTCAAATCTGAAAGATTACTTTGTAGGTGCCACCCCTTTGCAGAAACGACTGGAATCGGTCAGGAGGCAGAGTTCGTTTTTTCCCAGTCCACCTCGAAGGAAGGTTCCCCAATGTTCACAGTTACAGGTATGACTTGTTTGCCTTTGGGATAGTCAGTGATTGAAAATATATGAATAAGAATGCATCAATTTACATAACAATTTAACCTCTCAGCTAATAGATAAATGAGGAGTAGTTAAGAAAACAATTTCACACTTTAACCACACTGTGTTTTGTTCCTCCTAATCTCCATTACTCCATTTCACTTCCTCACTGTTTTTCTTCTGTGACATTGGCATTTTTGAAGGATATAGACTCATACTTTCCCTTGTTTGACTGGAATGTTCATCTTTATATTTGTATGATGTTTCTCAATGATTGAAATTTGTATTCTTGTCTAGCATTTTCCATAAGTTCTATTGTACCTTTGGTTCTTTGGTACCTTCAATGTAGCTTTCTCCTCTTGTCCATGGTGTATGTGTAGTGCTTTTTGGGATAGGAGTCAAGTTTTGTCTCTTATGACGTTTCTTGAAGAAGAATTGCTAGTGCTGGTACTGAAAATAATAGTTCTTAGACAGAAAGCTTTTCGGGCGTTGGGGGGTGGGGCTACTGGAGGTTTAATGCAGAGCCTTGCGTATGTTCAGCTTAGTTCTACTGCTGAACTACATCCTCAGCCTGAGAGACTTTATCCTCCCTCCCTCCCTCTCTCCATCTCTCCCTCCCTCCCTTTCTTTCTTCCTTCCTTCCTTCCTTCCTTCCTTCCCCTGCCAGCTGATATTACATACGTGCACCTACATGACTTCCTAGTGTGTAGTATTTTGCCTGCATGTATGTATATGTACCACATGTGTGCCTGAGGAAGTCAGAAGAGGGCATTGGACTCCCTAGAACTGGAGTGACTTATGATTGTGAACCATCAAGTGGATGCTGAGAACACCCAGGTCCTCTGCCATTTCTCCAACCCCTTCGACATATTTTATATAAAGATGGAAATGTCTAGTTTAGTGCTTCTTATTTTTACAATTTTCCCATTCATTTCGTAAGAAAAAGTATGTAGCTGTTTCAATGAATGCTGTTACTATGACAAACATTGTTCTCAAATCACACACACCCACACACATACTCTTTTGTTCTAAAAGACAGCTAGAGCTGTGAGGCAATGTCAGAAAATGTGGGCTTTAGAAGTTCCTCAGGAGGAAGTTAGGAGCTGTTAGACTGTCAGTACTTTTATACCCTTGTGGGGTTTTTGTTTGTTTGTATGTTTTCTGTTTGTTTACTTTTGTTTTTGTTTCTTTGAGACAGAATGTTGCTATACAAGCCTGTTAGCTTAGAACTCACTGTGTAGACTGGGCCAATTTGGCCCTGAACTTGTGGGTGATCTTTCTGTCTGCCCCAGAAGAGCTGGAGTTACAGTCGTATACCACTATGCCTGGCTCCCATTTGTTTTTTAAATTAATCTTTTAAGTGAGCATACAAAATGACTGATTCCCTGTGGCATGCTCATATATATATTATATATATATATATATATTATATATATATATATTATACTTGGTTATTCTTCATCTTCTTCCCCGTCTGACCCTGTTGTTCCCCCCAAATAGTTTTCCTTTCTGGGTACTGTCTTATTATCTCTACCCATATGAGCTCTTCCTTCCCTCTCATAGTCCCTTTCCTGCTTCCGTGACCACACACACACACACACTAAAACACACATGCACACACATATATCAAATGTCAGATCGTAGTCAGTGCTATGAAGAAAAATAAAAGGGTCAGGAGATAGTGACAGATTTGGAGTGATACGTTTACTTTAGAGTGGCCTCTTAGATAATAACTAAGGACAGATCTGAGTGAAATGGAGAGCTTTCTTGTATGAACATCCAGGGGAACAGTTTTCCACACAGGAAGGGAGGCAAAGGCAGAGGACCATTTAATGACCTATAAAGTCCTGCAAGCTCCATTTGAGGTTAATCTTAGGATTAACCTCAGGATCATGTACCAAATTTTTATTAAATATATAAATTGCTATTATTAAATTTTTATTCATGTTTTTACTTTTTAAATCATTTATCTTGGTTTTTTTGTTTTAGGAAGAAATTGATCCTCAGAAGGTTGCATTTCTTCTCCACAAACAATGGACTGTATATAGTTTAACTCCCTTGTATAAATTCTCCTATACTAATCTCAAAGAATATTCTAGACTTCTAAGTGCATTTATTGCTGCTGAAAAGCAGAAAGGACTTGCTGTGGAAGTGGGAGAAGACTTCAACATCAAAGTGATTTTTTCCACTCTACTTGGAGTGAAAGGAACACAAAGGGACCCTGAAGCATTTCTTGTGCAGGTATAGTAGTATGTACGTAGCACTTGCTTCAGAGAGGGGGGGAAAATCAATGTTTTGTTGGTTTGGAATGGAAATTATAGTATTTTCTTGTTGCATGTCTTTTTGGGGGGCGGGCGGTGCTGGAGAGATGGCTCAATTAAGAATACTGGCTGTTCTTCCAGAGGACCCAGGTTCAATTCCCAGCACCTACATGGCAGCTCACAACTGTCTGTAATTCCACTTCCATAGGATCTAACATGCTCACACAGACATATATGCAGGCAAAACACCAATGCACGTGAAATTAAAAAATAATAATAATAAAAATTTTAAAAAGTTTTTTGATTACATTTATGTATTTGTTTATTTTATTGTTTATTTAATTCTATGTATATATGTATGTGATTGTGTACCACAGTATGTTTGTGGAATTTGGAGAACTTTCACTGGAATTGGTTCTCTCTAATATGTAGGATCCTGGGGATCAAACTCAGGTGTCTTAATTTGCTAAGCCATCTTTCTGACCCAAAGCTTGTGGTTTTTTATCTTAGTTTATATTATAATAATTAGAGATGGCTAACTTAACTTGTTTCCTACATGTGTAGGAAATTTTTTTTGTGAGTGGAATATGATGTTGACTTTAGAAAGCACACAGAGGTATAAAAGAAGTTTAAGAAACTTGTGCTGGCAAGCCGGGTGGTGGCACACGCCTTTAATCCCAGCACTTGGGAGGCAGAGCCAGGCGGATCTCTGTGAGTTCAAGGCCAGCCTGGTCTACAGAGCGAGATCCAGGACAGGCACTAAAACTACACAGAGAAACCCTGTCTCAAAAAGAAAACAAAAACAAAAACCAAACAAAGAAACTTATGCTGGCAAGATGGCTCAGCAAGTCTAGGCACATGGGCAAGGCTGGTAGTAGAAGGAACAACCCGATTCCACAAAGGTGTCCTCTGCCCTTACACTCCACTCTGGCACACATACCCTCAAATCATGCACTCACATACACACAATAATAATTTTTAAAAATCACAATTTAACATTTTGGTATACATCTATTTGTTTATCTGAATCAGCACAGTCTTAAAATTGGGATCTCACTGTCCATACTTTGTGTTTTGGCTAATCAGTGTTATAGCTAATTACTCATAAATAGGAATTCTACATTTTTGTAGATACAGATGAATGTTCTAGTTCTATTCTTTCTTTCCTTTTTTTTTTTTTTCTTTCGAGACAGGGTTTCTCTGTATAGTCCTGTTTATCCTGGAACTTACTCTGTAGATCAGGCTGGCTTCAAACTCACAGAGATCTGCCTGCCTCTGCCTTTGGAGTGCTGGGATTAAAGGTTGTGCCACCCTGCTTCTAATTATTTTCTGTGATAAAACACTGACCAAAAGCAACTTGGGGAGGAAAGAGTTTATAAATTGGCTTGCAGTTCATGAGGAAAGCCAAGGCAGGAACTCAAGCAGAGACCAGAAGGAACACCATTTACTGGCATTCTCCCCATGGCCTTTTCAATTTGCTTTCTTACACAATCCAGGCCCACCTGTCCAGGGTGGCACTGCCCACAGTGAGCTGGGCCCTCCCATATCCATCATTAATCAAGAAAATGTCCCAGAGACTTGTCTACGAGGCCATGCTGGAGTAGAAATGCCTCAGTTGATGTTCCTTCTTCCCAGATGACTGTAGCTGTGTCAAGGTGACTAAAAACTAACCAGCACACTATAATTCATTGATTTTTTTTTTTAATTTAAGTTTTAGCTCCTAGAAGCAAAATTTTAGTAAAATTGTGTGCATTATATCATTCCATATGGTACGTGGTGCCATGTGACTCTCAGAAATGCAATGCTAATATCTCTTCCTGTTAGTTGTGCATAAAAGCAACAAGCCTGTCTTTTATTAGTCAAGAGATTAGCTTTGGTGTTTTGAGACAGGGTCTCATTGTGTAGTCCTGGATGGCTGACCTAGAACTTGCTATGTTGACCAGAAGGTCCTTGAACTCACAGAGATCCTCCTACCTCTACCTCTTGAGCTTGGAATTAAAAGTGTGTGTTCCCCCCGCCCCCAGCTCCACACACACAACACACATACAACTTTTCTCCTTTTCTTGACATAGGCTCTTCCTGTGTAGCACTGGCTGGCCTGTAACTCACAGAGATCCGACTGCCTCTGCCTTCCAATTTCTGGTATTAAAAATTTGTGTGACTGTACCCAACTCAAATGAACTAATCTTTATCTTTGAAAAAGGAAATTAAATTCTCAAGCTGTAGAAAAAAGATTAGATTCATTTGTATAAATTAAAGGTTAGCAAACTAATGTGTAGACTGGCTTTTTCTCTCTTTTTCCCAAAAGATAGTCTTGCTTTATAGCCCTGGGTGACCTAATACTCAGACTTGGGACAATCCTGCCTCAGTCTCCTAAGTACTAGGATTAGAGGTGTATGCCACCATGCCCAACTTATTTCTTGTTTTGGTGAATAATTTTTTTTCTTGGAACATAGCCCATTTCATTTGCTTCTGTATTGTCTATGGCCACCTTTGGGCTCTAACTGGAGACTTCAAGTGTAGTTAGTTGTGACAGACCATATATCCTGCAAAAGTAAAAATATTTAATATCTGGCCTCCCTCACCTGCTCTTTTGTTTATTTTTTGAGATAGGATCTCATGTGGCCTCGGGTGGCCTTGGACTCACAGTAGTTTAAGCCATGCTGAGGTGACCTTGATCCTTCTGCCTCCACTTCTCAGATGCTGGGATTATAATGTACACCACCGTACCTGGTGCTATTTGACTTTTTAAGGAAAAGTCCACTTCCTACAGGATAGGGCTGTAGAGGGATGCTCAGTTTGGTGGACATGGCTGCTTCACTGTTAGCTCCAGTGATGGTAATACCATATAGCATGAGGATTCTTCCAGTTATTAGGCAAGTTCCAAATGATTCTGACCCCAAATACCTGAAAGACTACCAAGAGAATTTAAAAAAAAAAAAAAGAAGCTAAAGTGTAATGAAGATGTTACAAGCCAGGGATGATTACCCAAGGCAGTGTGCAGCTCAAGGAGTTAGAAGAGAAATACAATTAAACACAATTAAAAACAAAATTTTAAGCAGAGCATTAGTCTAAGGATTTTCAAATCTCCATTTGTTTTGCTGAATTTAGCTTACAAGGGACATCACAAAGTCATCCTCACAAACTTCCAGTGATTACATGAAAAGATCATCTTTTCCATAGTGCAAATCAAAGCCTTTCACTAGCATGATCATTACCACAGACCATAAATTAAAAGCAAAATAGTACAGCTGGGCATGGTGCCGCATGCCTTTAGTCCCAGCATTTGAGAGACAGAGGCAAGCAGTAGGTCTCTGAGTTTGAGGCCAGCCTGGTCTACGTAGTGATTTCTAGGACAGCCCGTCTCAAAAACAAAACAAAGCAAAACAAAACATTAATAATAAATGTGATTGAAGGTGTGGAGAACTTGGAATCCTCATGCATTGCAAAAAATTTTTGCAGCCACTTTGGAAAGCAACAGGTTTCAAAATCTCATTTCTTGATAAACTTACAGGACTCTTAAGTCATGAAAGTATGATATATATAGTATATTTGGTCTTGGAAATGTTTAAATCCTTCATAATCTCTTGAATAAGGAGATATGATAAAAGAAACTGTTTAAGTGATCCTTTATTAAGAAATATGATGGTGTCAGATGGTGGTGACACACACCTTTAATCCTAGGAATCCAAAGGCAGGGGTAGGTGGATCTCTGAGTTTGAGGCTAGCCTGGTCTACAGAGTGAGTTCCAGGACAACCAGGGCTACACAGAAAAACCCTATAGTAGGGTTTTTTTTTTTTTTCTTTTTTTTTAATTTTTGGGAGCCCGCCGCCCAACTCCCAAATAAATACACGGAGACTTAGTCTTACTTATTAATGCCCAGCCTTAGCTTGACTTGTTTCTAGCCAGCTATTCTTAAATTATCCCATCTACCTTTGCCTCTGGGCTTTTACCTTTCTCTATTCTATATACCTCTCTTTCTTTCTTACTTAATGACTGGTTGTGTGGCTGGGTGGCTGACCCCTGGCATCCTTCTCTCCTCCTTTTCTTGCTCCTCTCTCTTCTCTCTCTCCTCATTTATTCTCTGTGCCTGCCAGCCCTGCCTGCATCTCTCTTGCCTAGCTATTGGACGTTCAGCAAGACCAATCAGTTGTTTTAGGTAGGCACAGTAACACAGCTTTACAGAGTTAAACAAATGCAACATAAAAGAATGCAACACATCTTTGCATCATTAAACAAATATTCTACAATGAAACCCTGTCTTGAAAAACAAAAACTATGATGGGGCAAAAATTTAAATGTTGCCCTGGTCAGTACTTTAACAAAAACTATTATGAATGTTTTGAAGGAATGTTTGCTATGTAATTCACAATGGGAAATTTGAGGGGTTAGTCATGGGAAAGTAATTAGGATTTTAAACTATCTTGAACAGATTGGCACAGTGGACCAAATTGAAAGAGCTTTAAATTTTGGTAGAAGTAAGTTTACTGCCTTAATCTAGGTGGAGAGAAGATTTACATTTTACATATAATGGCAAAGATGAATGTATTGGGCCTTTAAATTTTTTTAAATTAGATTTATTAATTTTATTTTATGTGTGTTTTGCCTGTATATGTCTGACCACATGTGTGCTTGGTGCCCTTGGAGGTCAGAAGAGGACATCAGATCACCTGGAACTGGAATTATGGATGGTTGTAAACCATCATGTGGGTGCTGGGAATCGAACACGGTCCTCTGCAAGAGCAACAAGTGCTCTTCACTGCTGAGCCTTCTCTTCAGCCCTGGACATTTTTTATATAAAGCTGTCAACTAAAAACTAGAGGTCTGTAATTTTAGATTATACTAATAGTACAACCTAGGTCAAAGATGATGATCTAATCAGAGTTTTTTGTTTTTGTTTTTCTAATCTAGAGCCTTGTATACACTATGTACTTTGCCACTGAGTTTGATTCTTAGGGCTTTGTAATTAAACTTTTCTGAAGTAAATATGTTCACTTTTGGATGACTCCTATGCGTAAGAAGGTCAGAGTGTAAGAGTGCAAGAGAACTTGTGAGTGTATGTCCTAGGACGAATGGATTGAAGACACTGGAGACCTTGAACTTGACAGTGTATGTGTTATGGACCAGCAGGTGTCTGAGGGGCTTTTCCTGTAGAAGAGAGATTAGATTTTATTTGTCTTACATGCCCATAGTGAAGAAAGTGATGCAGTGGATGGGAACTGTATGTAGCATATGGAAGAACATTTTAAGTTGATGGAAAGGGTTGTTGTGGGAAATGTTCCTCTCTAATGGGAATTTTTTTTTTTTTTTTTTTTTTTTTTTTGTGGTTTTTCAAGACAGGGTTTCTCTGTGTAGCTTTGGAGCCTTTCCTGGAACTCACTCTGTAGCCCAGGTTGGCCTCGAACTCACAAAGATCCACCTGGCTCTGCCTCTGAGTGCTGGGATTAAAGGCGTGCGCCACCACCGCCCGGCTCTAATGGCAAATGTAAGCTGTTGGACGTGGAGCTCTTCTGTAGTCCTTTCTAAAGTTGAGATTTTTTTTTCCTTCCCCAAGGTATTGTACTTGAGTGTACCATATAAGAATTTCCTAATTTGGTTTTTGGCAAGGTCTTGCCATATGCTCTATTTCTAGTATAGAAAAATATTAGCCAAAAGTCAATATTTTGATAAGCTCTAATAATTAGAGAAGTTACTCATTGTGTTTTTTTTTTTTTTATCAGCTATTGTTATCACTTTAATTTTTTTTTTTTTTTTTGGTTTTTTGAGACAGAGTTTCTCTTTGTAGCCTTGCGCCTTTCCTGGAACTCACTCTGTAGTCCAGGCTGGCCTTGAACTCACAAGATCCACCTGCCTCTGCCTCCCGAGTGCTGGCATTAAAGGCGTGTGCCATCACCACCTGGCTAATTTTGTTTTTTTAATGAAGCAAAGTTGGAGTTTATTAAGAATCAGTTTTTATACATACTTGATTACAGATATTAAAAGAGAGAGACAGTATTTAAAAAAAAGAAGCGGGGTTGGGGATTTAGCTCAGTGGTAAAGTGCTTGCCTAGCAAGCGCAAGGCCCTGGGTTCAGTCCTCAGCTCTGGAAAATAAATAAATAAATAAATAAATAAATAAATAAATAAATAAATAAATAAATAAATAAATAAAAGAAGCTGGACATGGTAGCTCACACATGTAACCCAGCACTGGATTGATTTTGGGTTTTTGTTTTGTGCTCTTTTTTAAAATGTGTTTCTATTAGCATATATAAATTACTTATAATAATGGGTTTCATACATGTATATGATCATTTTGATCATTGTCCCTTGTGTCCCTCCTTCCTGCTGATCTCCCTCCTCTTCTCAACTGCTTCCCCTTCTACTTTCCTGTCTTGGTTTTTGGTGACCCAATGAGTTTAGTTAGGGCTGTTGACAGGAACATGGGTGAGGGCTTAGTTACAGGCACATAGGCAACTTGCCAGTGGCTTTTCCACTAAAGAAGATCATTAACTGCCTGTATATCCTCAGGGATGGGTGGGGCTTTGGAGTTTCTTCCCTCTTTCAAGTCAGGATGCTTAGGAACCCACTCTTCGGCAGGTAATCACAGCTGCTGAGAAGTCAAGAGTGCAATCGCCAGGTCAAGGCAGAGGACAGCGTTCCATATCCTTCCGCTTCATCCTCGGCTCCACCCTTCCATGCATGCTCTCCCTAAGTGTTCGGAGTGATGGGGGTCTGTTGAACCTCCACTTACTCTCAGCACTGGCCGGTTGTAAGCCTCTGTGGGAACTGTGGCCCACAGCAAACAGAAACTCCCCCGACCAAAGATGACAACAGTATTTATTCGTCTATGAGCACAACATAAATATTTTTAGAAGACAATTTAATAGGGACTTTATGCCCACTTAGCAATAAAACAGCAGTACCTTGCCTACTAGAGCCTATGTTTATAGTCCCGGACATGAATTCCTTCCTGTGGAGTAGGTAGGCCTCAGATCTAATTGGAAAGTGGTTGGTTAACCTCACAAGAGTTCTGTTACTATTGCTCGCTCTCTCTCTCTCTCTCTCTCTCTCTCTCTCTCTCTCTCTCTCTCTCTCATCTATTTTTCCTTCCTTCCATCCATCCTATTATCTATCTATCTATCTATCTATCTATCTATCTATCTATCTATCTATCTATCCTATTATTTGAGACAGTATCCCATAGAGACCAGGCTAACCTCAAACTTGCTATGTAGCCAAGGCTGGCCTTGAACTCCTTGTCTTCCTGAGTCAGCCTGGAATTATGAACATGTGTCACCATGCTTGGCCTTATTTTTAATATACTCACTAGTTTTGAGAAGATGAAATTTAGAGTAAATGGTCCTTTGAATGTAATGGACTTGTTTTGCTTTCCCTTGTAGATTCTCTCCAATTCCCAGTCATCACGTGAGCACAGAGAAGGGAAAGTGTTGTGGACTGGTTGGTTCTGCTGTGTCTTTGGAGAGAGTCTTCTGGAGACTGTGTCCGAAGACTTCACCTGTCTACCCTTATTCCTTGCAAACGGAGCAGAGTCCAATACCTCTCTAATCGGAGGCTGGTTTCAGAAGACCTTTGACTGTTGCTTCAGTCCTTTAGCAATCAGTGCGTTTAATCTTTCCTGGATGGCTGCCATGTGGACTGCATGCAAAATGGACCACTATGTGGCTACTACAGAATTGTTTTGGTCTGTGCCCTGTAGCCCTCAAAGCTTGGATATTTCTTATGCAATTCATCCAGAGGACGCAAAAGCTTTATGGGACAGTGTCCACAAAACACCTGGGGAGGTTACCCAGGAGGAGGTTGACTTATTTATGGACTGCCTTTACTCACACTTCCATAGGCATTTCAAAATTCACTTATCAGCCACAAGATTGGTTCGTGTCTCTACGTCTGTAGCTTCAGCACACACTGATGGAAAACTGAAGGTTAGTTTAAACACATCTAATTAAACTTTTTCTTGTCAGGGTTTCCAAATGTGTGGTGATTATATTTTACCTGGAGAAACACACTTGAATGCATAGTAGTTCAAGATACTAGAGAGACTTATTTTATGCTTTATAAATGACCCACCAATGTCTCTAGCCACCTAGAGCCGGCCTTAAGTGCAACAGCACTATGTATTGCGTAGTGTAGAGCTGAGTAATATGAATTACCCTCAAGCAACTGAAATTTTCAAAATGGACAAATTTTGAAATAACTGTTAAAATAACAGCATTTTTATGTGTGGAATAAAATTACAGCCAGCAACAGAATGTCATCTTTGTTTTCTAGGCTTTTTATTGCCATTAGAAAGAAATTTACAGAGACATTGTTTTTATGTTCTATAAAGAAACTATATATATATATATATTTTTTTTTATTTTTTTTTTAAGATTTATTTATTTATTTATTATGTATACAGTGTTCTGCCTGCATATCTGCCTGCAGACCAGAAGAGGGCACCAGATCTCATTACAGATGGTTGTGAGCCACCATGTGGGTGCTGGGAATTGATCTCAGGACCTCTGGAAGAGCAGTCGGTGCTCTTAACCTCTGAGCCATCTCTCCAGCCCCCCTTTTTTTTTTTTAATTTTTTAATTTATGTGTGTGGGTGTTTTTGCCTGCATGTGTATCTGTACATTTGTGCTATGCCCAGTGCCCTTGGAGGCCAGAAGAAGAAACCTTTGGATCCACTGAAACCAGAGTTTGGTGTGAGCTGTCATGTGGGTGCTGAGAATTGAATCTGGGTCCTCTGGAAGAGCAGCCAGTGCTCTTAGCCACTAAGCCATCTCCCCAGCCTCCTTAAGGCATATTTAAATACATGTCTGTAGTGGGTAACCTTAATAATTTCACCAATACATGTCCCTATATACATCCAGTGAATGCTTCCTATTATTTTGTCATTGTTAAGACTCTTAACAGAGTTTAATTCTACTTTTTCTTTCTACTTTTAAATTTTTCTGTGTATTTTTCCTTTTGTGTGTGTGTGGTAGGAAATGAACATAGTGCCTTGTACAGTCAGGCAAGTCCTCAGCCACTGAGCTACATACACTCTTTCTGTCCTATTTGTACATAATTACAGGCATAGTATGGCATAAGAAGAGTTGAGTTATAGTAATTAGCAATTCCATCTCTGTCTTTGTATTATCTAGTTACTTTGAAATGTTAATAAATTGTAGACTGTAGTCACCCAACTGTGCTGTAAAAGCACTAGAACTAATTCCTCCTACCTGGTTGTATTTTGTTACCCATTATGTAAACCCTCTCTATCTCTCCTTAGCTGTTGGTGACCACTGTTTTCTTCTATGAGATTTGTTTTGTTTTGAGGAAGGCTTTCATGTAGCTCAGGCTAGCCTTGAATTCATTATGTAGCTGGAGATGATGTTGAATTCTCAATCCTTCTGACTTCCACGTGTGTGCTGTGCCATGCACGTACATCTATAAAGACACAAAATCAATAATTTTTTTATAAAAGGAAAAGGTTCAAAAATATTTGAACTTTTATGTCTTATGTTCCATGAGTACTATATAACTCACATTTTCAAACTGAAAGGTCAAAATGAAATAATAGGCTGAAAAATAATTTTGATGAGAAGAGCTAAGGATTAAAAACAAAAGCAACTTAATATAGTGACACATGCTTGTAATACTAGTGCTTGGGAGGTAGAGGCAGGTGGATCAGTGGTTCAAGGTCATCCTTGGCAACATAGGGAATTCAAAGCCAGCATGGGTACTTCAGACCCTGTCTTAGAAAACTGAAGCAAGGACTGGAGAGATGGCTTAATGATTGAAAGCATGTACTGTTTGGGTAGAGAGCCCGAGAGTCTATCTCCTAGTACTCATACTGAGGAGGTTGAAAGCATATACTATTCTGGTAGAGAGCCCAAGAGTCCATCTCCTAGTACTCATACTGAGGAGGTCACAACCACCTGTAATTTCATTCCAGAGGAGCCAACACCCTCTTCTGGCCTTTTAAAATTGGTTTTAACCAAGCTCAGCTGGTTGAGAACTGCATTGCTCTTGCAGAGGATCTGAGTTGGGTTCCCAGCAGCCACACCAGGCAGTTCACAACTATCTGTAACTCTAGCTCCAAAAGATCAGATGCCTCTGGTCTCTTCTGGCACTTGGATTCATGTGCGTATACCTACACACATAACTACATAATTAAAAATAAATAAGTAAAATAAAAACCATGACAAAAATAAACAAAAACCCCCAAGATCAAATTGCTTTGTCATCATAATACTATCTTAATTTTAAAATCTTTTCTTTTTTTTCTTTTACAGATTCTCTGTCATAAATATCTTATTGGTGTGTTGGCATATATGACAGAACTGGCAATTTTTCAAATTGAGTGACTTCTCGTATGGACTGCACCTATAAACCCTTTCAATTATTTTCTGAGTTGCTCTTCCCAGTGGGGCAGTGGAAGAAATGTAGCACGTGTTTTCTCAGGGTGCCTTTGGAGTTTTCCAGGTGGATCTAGAACACAGCGGTGGTAGGGGTGAGCCATGTTCATGTGCTCGTATCACTGTGGTCATGTCGTGTGTAATGCCATAGAAGATGATGAGTTGTTAATATAAAAGCATCTAACTTAGTCAAATAAACATAACTAAAATCTGGTGTTTCTGATTTAGGTTATTTATTCTGATGGTGAGGCTTGCCTCTGAGGTTTCTGTTTAAATTTCTCAATTTTTCATTTCCAGATTTCCCTCAGTTTTTATATTATTATTGATTCTATTTCCACTTTTAGACCTTGAACTGTTTTATTGATTTCCTTTCACTATTTATGTTTTCATAGATTTCTTTAAGGAATTTATTCATTTCCTCTTTAAGGACCTCTATCATATTCATAAGGGCTATTTTAAGGTCTTTAAAAAGTCTTGTATATCAGCTATGTTGCAGTTCTCAGGACCTACTGTGGTAGGGTTGCTGGGCTTTAGTGGAGACATATTGTCCTGGCTGTTAGTGATTATGTTTTTATGATGATATCTAGGCATCTGGGTTTGGGAAGATTATAATTTGAGATGCTGATACCTGTTCTTGTCTTTGTTGGGTGGATGTCTTGTTCCTTGGTTCTGTTGCCCTCTGATTCTTAGGAGAGAGTGGTGGCTGTGTATTGTATGGTAAGAAACAACACCTTTTACAATAGCCTCAAATAGTATAAAATATCCTGGGGTAACTCTAACTGAGCAAGTGAAAGACCTGTATGACAAAAACTTCAAGTCTTCAAAAAAGAAGTTGAAGAAGATATCAGAAGATGGAAAGATCTTCCATGCTCGTGTATTGATAGGATTAACATAGTAAAAATGGCTATCTTCCCAAAAGCAATCTACAGATTCAATGCAATTTCCATCAAAAATTCAACACAATTCTTTACGGGCCCTAGAAGAACAATTTTCAGCTTCATATGTGGGTGGTTTGAGTAAAAATGGCCCCCATAAGTCCATAGGGAGTGGTACTATTAGGAAGTGTGACCTTGTTGGATTAGATGTGGCTTTGTTAGAGGAAGTGTGTCACTGGGTGGGTGGGTGGGGGGCGGCCTTTGAGGTCTCAGAAGCTCATGCCTGGCCAGTGTGGCACTTCTCCTCCTGCCTGTGAATCAATATGTAGAACTCTCAGCTACCTCTCCAACACCATGTCAACCTGTATGCCACCATGCTTCCCACCATGACAATAATGGACTAAACCTCTGAAACTGTAAGCCAGCCCCAATTAAATATTTTCCTTTATGAGAATTGCCATGGTCATGGTTTCTCTTCACAGCAATAGAAACCCTAACTAAGAAAATATGGGAACACAAAAAGCCTGGGATAGCTAAAACAATCGGAATAATAAAAAAACTGCTGGAGGCATCACCATCCCCAATTTCAAGTTGTACTGTATAGTAATAATAACAGCATGGTATTGGCCCCAAAACAGACATTGATTAATGGAATTGAACTGGGGACCCAGACATAAATCCCCACACCTATGGACACCTGATTTTGATAAAGAAGCCAGAAATACACACTGGAAAAAAGACAGCATCTTCAACAAATGGTGCTGGTCAAACTGGATGGCTGCATGTAGAAGAACACAAATAGATCTATAATTATCATCCTGCACAAAACTCCAAATGGATCAAAGACCTTGACATAAAACCAGACACACTGAACCTGAAAGAAGAGGAAAGTGGGGATAGCCTTGAATGCATTGGCACTGGAGAAGACATTCTGAACAGAACACTGATAGACACAGGTACTAAGATCAACAAGAAGTGGGACCTCATGAAACTGAAAAGCTTCTGCACAGCAAACAACACCATCATTTGGACAAAGCAGCAGGCTACAGAATGGGAAAAGATTTCTACCAACTACTCATCTGATAGAGGGCTAACATCCCAAATATATAAAGAACTCAAAAGACTAGATATCAAGAAAACTCATTTAAAAAGTGGGGAAAGATCTAAATAGAGAAATCTCAGAAGCGGGAACTCAAATGGCTGAGAAACACTTAAAGAAATGTTCAACATCTGTAGCCATCAGCGAAATGCAAATCAAAACGACTTTGAAATTATGAAATCTTTTACCTGTCAGAATGACTAAGATCAATTACAGAAGTGACAGTTCATGCTGTGGATATGAAGTAAGCTAAACACTCCTCCATTTCTGGTGGGAGTACAAACTTGTACAGCCACTATGGAAGTCACTGTGGCAGTTCCTCAGGAAGATGGGACTTGATCTTCCTCAAGACCCAGCTACTCCACTCTTGGGCATATACCCAAAGGATGCACAATCATACTGCAAGGACACTTGCTCAGCCATGTTTATTGCTATTCTATTCATAATAGCCAGAAATTGGAAGCAACTTAGATGTCCCTTAACAAAAGAATGGATAAAGAAAATGTGGGACATTTACATAATGGAGTATTACTCAACTGTTAAAAAAATGACAACATGAAATTTGCAGGCCAATAGATGGACCTAGAAAAAAAAATCATCCTGAGTGAGGTAACCCAGACTCATAAAAACAAATATAATATGTATTCTTTTATATGTAGCTATTAACTCTTAAGTCAACGAGAACTAAGCTATAATCCATAGAACCACAGAGGTTAGGTATAGAGAAAGGGACTAGTGGGGACAGGTAAGTCTTGTGCAGCAGGCTCTTTTGTCACACAAATAATGATCTGGAGACTTATTATTAATTATGAAAGCGTGGCCTTAGCTTAGGCTTTTTTCTAACTAGCTCTTATAACTTAATTAACCTGTTTCTATTAATCTACATTCTATTGTTTGGCTCAGTTACCTCTTTTTAATATGGCATATCCACCTTGCTCTGAGTTGGATGTGTGAAACAGCGCACCTAGATTCCTCCTCCCAGTTTCTTTCTCTCTCTCTGTCCAGAAGTCCCACCTAACCTCTTCCTGCCTAACTATTGACCATTTAGGTCTTTATTAAACCAATCAGAAGGTGCCTTTGCAAAGGCACATCTTCACAGTGTAAATATTCTGCAACAGTCTTGTTAGGAAGAGGAAATAGAATAAATAGTTATGGATGGATTGTGGGGGTCTGTAGTAGAAGGATCAAGTAGTCAGAGAGAGCTAAAAGGGGGATGAGAGAGGGAATATGGAAAGAGTCAGCTAAAATTAGGGTTCATTTAAGGCATAGTATGGAAACCTAATACAATAAAACTTCCTAAAATCTAGACATATATGATGGCTATCTAACTGAAATTGTGAAATAATGGGGAGACACGCTCAGCTGGCCGTCTCCTGTCACCAGGTGAAGCTTCCAGTCCTGGGGTTGGATTACATCTAATTGAGTTGTTGGACAAAGGGGTCCCATTGGAATCCCCCAAAATCCAGGCTGCTGCCAAGACTGTAGGGTGCTCTCTACAAAATGACAGCAAGAACCTATTGCTGAAGACAAAAACCTATACAACTCATTGAATATGGAGAAACTGATCTAGTGCCTACATAGAACCTTCACCCCTACATCCTAGTGTCTTTGGTACAGGACAGTACTTTGCCTGCTTCCAAAAGAGAAACATAAACACCAACCCAGCCACAAACCCTTGGATCGACAATGGTGTCCTGCCTGCAAGATATGCTAGTTTGATGGTGGCAGAAAGCATGTGGGAGTAAGAAACAATATCTGGTTTAACTTAAGGCCCATTTTATGAGATGGAACCCATACCGAACACTGCTTGGGTGACCAAGAACCTAAGACTAGATAGCTCAGGAACCCAGTGTAAACCCAAATAATACTGTTCTTAAAAAAAAAAAAGTAGCAATAGAATGACTCCTAATGACATTCTGCTATACTCACAGATCAGTGCCTTATTCAGCTATCATCAGAGAAGCTTCCTCCTACAGCAGATGGGAACAAATAATAGAGACCCACAGCCAGACATTACACAGAGAATGAGAGACCTTGGAACACTCAGCCCTAAATTGGATGTCTCCCTTAATGCTCCTCCTGACCCCTACTCTCAGGGCTCAGGGAACCCTGTGGAATAGGAGGATAGAAGAGTTTAAGAGTCAGTGGGGATGGAGGACACCAAAAAACAAAACAAAACAAAAACAACCCAAGATTCTCTGAAGTTTAGAGTCTAAATCAACATGATCAAAGCTCATATAAAATTGCAGAGACTGAAGCAGCATTCACAGGGCCTGCATGGGTCTGCACCAGGTCCTTTGCAAATATATCATGGCTTCCAGTTTAGTGTTTTGTTTTTGTTGTCTGAGACAGGGTTTCTCTGTGTAGCCATGGCTGTCCTGGAACTCCCTTTGTAGACCAGGCTGGCCTCGAACTCAGAGATCCACCTGCCTGTGCCTCCCAAGTGCTGGGACTAAATGCGTGTGACACCACCACCTGGCCAGTTTAATGTTTTGATGGGATTCCCGAGTTTGTGAACCAGGGGTCTGTTTCTGTGCCTTCTCTTGGCACTGTTTTCCTTCCGTTTGCTTGTTTTGTCCAATTCCAATGTGTTAGTTTTGTTTGATCTTATTTTATTACTATTCATTAAAAGCCTGTTCTCTCTCTCTCTCTCTCTCTCTCTCTCTCTCTCTCTCTCTCTCTCTCTCTCTCTCTCTCTCTTTCTCGTGGCTGCTGAGAGCTGAACCTGGGTCTGCAAGAGCAACAAGTGCTCTTCAACCTCAGAGCCATCTCTCCAGCTCCCACCTGTGTGCTTTCTAATGAGAGAGAGACAGAGACAGAGACAGAGAGACAGAGAGAGACAGAGAGACAGAGAGAGAGACAGAGAGAGAGAGACAGAGAGAGAGACAGAGAGAGAGAGAGAGAGAGAGAGAGAGAGAGAGAGAGAGAGAGAGAGAGGCCTGGGATGGGAAGGAAGGGAGGGAGGAACTGGGAGAAGTAGAGGGTGGGGAAACCATAACCAGCGTTTATTATATGAAGAAAAAAAATCTGTTTTCAATAAAAAAATTTAAACTTTTAATCTCTCTTAGAGCATCTTAGATTTGTGTTAAAAGAGAATGTTTCTTCTTCTTTCTCCTCCTCTTTTCTTCTTTTTGAGACAGGGTCTCATAGTCTAGTCTGGCTATGTAGATGGGGAGGACCTCCAACTTCCGCCCCTCCAGCCCCCAGCCCTGGAGTGCAAAGATTGCGGGTGTGAGCCACCATACCTGGTTCATACAGGGCCGGACATCAAAGTCTGGGTTTTGTACACATTAGGCCAGCACCCTATCATCTGAGCTACATCCCCAGCCTGAAGTTTTATCTTTTAGACACATTTCTTTTTTAATTAAGAAACTTTTTTTATTCATTTTTACATACCAATCAAAGATCCCTTCCCCTTCCCTCCTCCCACTCCAGCCTCCCCCTCCCAACTCACCCCCCATTCTCTCTCACAAGAAGATAAGACCTCCCATGGGGAGGCACATTCAGTAGAGGTGGGTCCAAGCCCTATTTCTAATGTCATTCTGCTGTAGAGAACTTGCCATCAAAACTTTCTGAAAAATGAAGAGAACAAATGGTCTGAAGCCACTAATATATTTTGGTCTTTAATCCTACTGCAGGGTGAATTATATATTTTAAAAATGATCCAGTGTATATTAATGCCATCTTTTGACTAGTGTCTCAGCAGTGGAAGTGTTAGCCTTTGCTTTAGCATACAGGGCACAAACTTGCAGAATTGTGTCTAGGATCACAGGGGGAACATCACCTGTGAGCCCCATTAGCAGGAAGAAACGATCATGCTTAGCTTTCATATTTAGAGTTCTTAATAAATACTTGTAGATTAAGCACATATTAATCAAGTCTTCTATTATATAGGGGAGAACTGAGTTGAACCAACCTAGGAAACTTGCCTCTGTTATGTCTTAATCTCATTTCACTTTATGAGCATACGATTTTGCTTCACTTTTGGAGCTTTTTAAAAAATATGTATTTTATGTAGGAGTGTTCTGCCTGTCTGTATGCCTGCACTCCAGAAGAGGGCATCAGACCCCATTACAGATGGTTGTGAGCCAACATGTTGTTGTTTGGGATTGAACTCAGGACCTCTGGAAGAGCAGCCAGTGATCTTAACTGCTGGGCTTTTAAATTATTTATTTATTATTTACTTAGATATCAGGCCTCCTGTGAATTTAAAATGCTGTCTTCACCTCTCAAGTGCTGAGGCTGTAGGAGTACATTACCATGCCTGGTTTCTGTGGTGTTGGGGCCTGAGCCCAGGAATGTGTGCATGCAGGGCAATTACTCTACAAACTGAGCTCATCCAGTCCTAGGAGCAGTGTTTGTTCAACATCTCTTTTGGATTTTTTTTTTTTTTTTTTTTTTTTTTTTTTTGGTTTTTCGAGACAGGGTTTCTCTGTGTAGCTTTGCGCCTTTCCTGGAACTCACTCCGTAGTCCAGGCTGGCCTCGAACTCACAGAGATTCGCCTGGCTCTGCCTCCCGAGTGCTGGGATTAAAGGCGTGCGCCACCACCGCCCGGCCTCTTTTGGATTTTTTGAGTCTCACTGTAGAACCTAGGCTGGCCTTGAACGCCAGGCATTTCCTCCTGCTTCAGCTTTCTCAGTGCTGGTGTAGCTTGAAGACCTAGGTTCAAATCTTTACTACCCTTATTCAAAGCCGAGTGTGGCCCACAAATTTCAGGCCTGGACTACATAGCAAGATTGGTCTCAATAAATAATAATAACCAAAAGCCAAAACAAAAACCCCCATCCAACCAACCAACCAACCAAAACTCGTGTCTGTTGATGGTAGGGAATTCTTGGTCATAGTTTGGTGCCACCACCAAACTGTTAGGTTTGTCATTAGTGTTAAGGCACCAGCAGTTCTGTCTCTCGTTGCTTTTGTCACAGTGAAAAGCCAAACATGTAGTCTGACTAAGGACATTGCTTCGGCTCATGGATGCTTTGAAAGAACCCTGGGGCCTGAAGCTGATACTCTGAGAACCATTTAATCAAACCCATTTTGAATGTGAGAGCTTTCTGAAGGTAGCGACTGGTCTGGCTTAGTGAACCCCAAACTTCCACTCATTTAAATCACTTTGGGCATGTGTCCTCAGACGCAGAAACATCCTTTTGCTTTGAAATAGGCCTTTGAGAGACATTTCTGATTCAAACTGTTATCAGTCTTATTGTATTATTATAGGCTATGTTTCAGATAACTCTAGTGGTAATGTGGCATAAAAACAGGCAGAATAGGGCTTTGGCAAAATATGAAACACCAGTTCCATCACTAAATATACAAGCAGGCTTCCTTGGTATTCAGACTTAGGTAAGTGTATTAAATGGGTTTGGACTAGAGGATTAGCCCTTTCAGTCCAAAACTGTAGGACTCTTACACACCAGAAAATATATTTATAGATTGGGTAATATAAAATACAAAATGAGAAGTCTTAATTGTATCAGTTTCAGGATGAAGCACTTGTAATATAAGTGCATATATATATATAACATATTATATAAAAGTAATGTAAGATACCAACATAAAAAATCCAAATAAACAGTGAAATAAGAAGTACCAAATGGCAGTAATCAGGACTGGAGAGATGGCTCAGCAGGTAAAGACACTTGCTGCCAAGCCTGATGAACTGATTTGATTCCTGGAACCCACATGATGGAAGGAGAGGACTGACTCCTACAAACTGTCTTCTGGTGTTGTGACATGCTCCACCCCACCCCTTACACACACACACACACACACACACACACACACACACACACACACACACACACACACACACACACATAGTAAAAAAGTTAAAAACACAAAAAATTTTAAAAAACTTTATGGTAAATACTACCTTTATTTTAAAAAGTTATACATGCTAGAAAAAAGCATAAATGATACATGTAAACAATTGTTTACCAAATACTTATTTTTTTCCTTGAAAAAGGTGCAAATGATGTTTAAATGTAAACACAAAAGTTGCCAAACATTTTGTTGTAGGGGAGAGGAAGAAGGTAAAGGTTATTCCTTTTGGTTGTGGCTAAAGTCTCATTCAAAAGTTTTCCTGCAAAACACACTGAAAGAGAAATCAGTCTATATCTATAATGGAGGGGAGGACCTTAGGCACTAAAACTTTCATTTATTTCCTTAAAAATTTTAACCTTTCATCAGAAAGTGCAACTTAAGAGACATGGTAACAGTGGCCTTATGAGATGAAAGAGAGTGAAATATAATTAGCCTAAAGCCCCCAGCTCTGACTGGATGCTTCAGCTGCCTTGACATCCTTCACATGTACTGCTAACACGAACTGAAGACATCATTTCTTTGGAGCGTGTAACTAAAGGTCAGCTCAGATTTACCAGGCCGAAACATCCAGTGTAAACTGAACAGCAGAATCCACTGCTGGAGAGAGGTCATTTTTCCTTGGTGGCCCCTGGTGGCAATGAGGAGATAGGAAAGAAATTTGCAGGTAACACCCATGAGCAAAAACCCTTACAAAGTTGCACTTGATTTATTGGAGTTCTCAAGATGAGGAATGAGACTTGCACTGTTTTTAGAAGAGGCACTGAGCAGAGACCTAGGTACAAGTGGCAGAAACTCTAAGAAAATATTAGAGGACAAAAGGGAAATGGAGTGGAAAGCAAGTTCAGTTAGATAGATGTAAACGTCCACTGATGAATGAAAATCATAGCTTGTTCTGCTTTTGGGGATTTCATATTCCTTCTGAACTGTCCTATGAGGTGTTTTCTTGTTTTTTCTTTTACATTTAAAATAAATTTTATTTTGAATTACTCATACTTGTGGGGTATATGTGTGTGTATGAATGCACAGGAGTGCAGGTACCTGCAGAGGCCAGAAGAGAGTCCGGAATCCCCTAGCTCAGCTGTTCTCAACCTGTGGGTCATGACCCCTGGGGGGGGTCAAACAACCTTTTCATAAGGGTTGCATATCAGATATCCTGCATATCAGATATTTACATTACGATTCAAAACAGGAGCAAAAATTACAGTTATGAAGTAGCAAATGAAAATAATGTTATAGTTGGGGGGGGGGTCACCATAACATGAGGAACTGTATTAAAGGGTTGCAGCATTAGGGAGGTTGAGAACCACTGACCTAGCTGGAATTACACAGTTGTAAGCTGCCAGATGTGAGTGCTGGGAACTGAACTTGGGACCTCTGAAAAGCAGCACATGCTCTTACTGGACCATTTCCAGTCCCCTTTACATTTTGGAGTGTTCTAATAGTTAGTGCAAGAATGGTAACTAGCGAATATACTTTGCACATCTATCTTTATCATTGGCAATCTTGGTAGATGGATAGTGTCTAATAGGATAACAACCAGATCATATGTAGCCCTTCTGCCCTTATCAGTATTTTCAAAATCAAACAAAACCTAGGAAGTAAAGTAAATTTTGCAGCTTGGAATTTTTTTTTCTCCTTTTTTCTTTTTTCTTTTTTTTTAATGATAGGAAGGATAAGTAAAAAAAAAAAAAAAAAGAAAAGAAAAAGAAAAAAACAACAACAAACCCCCCCAAATGACCCAAGCCAACGAAACAAAAACAAAAATCCCCATCAAAACTCCATGATAAATTAAAGCCAGAAATAAACCCTCTTCTGCAGAGAGTGGAAAGGTATTGTGCAAAGGAGGCGTCTGCAGGTGAGCTCCGTCGTTAGACTTGTAGTTCTGCATGTTGAGGCACCAGCAAAGAATAAATTTTGTTCTAATGTTTTCTCGAGCTGTACAAAGCTTCAAAGTCAAGGCTCTTCCAAATATAAAGGAGAGTATGCAAGACTTTTTTCTGTGTTCACCATATATGAGATTCACAATGTGTCATTTTAATAACTCCTACACCACCTCCAAGCCGACGGTAATTCATCCCTCCATATAACCTGCAAAGATAGAAACAAACGCTTATTTTCTAACTGGTAAAAGCTCTGCTCCTTCTAAATGAAGACATCACTCACAACATTTTCAGCTTTACGTAACTCTTCCAAAGATTAGAAGCAAATTGAACACAGTCAAGTAGCAGAATTAATTCAGCCCATGACTGAAAGAAAAGCTCTCAGTGGAATGCGGCTATCTGCTCACCTTTTTTACACTAGAGACACGCAGACTGGCTTCTAACACGCAAACCTTATGTTCTACATTTTTGTGTTTAATTTTATGTCTGGCTATTTATTTTCCCAGATACATCTTCTCTTTGCCTAAAACTTTCTCAATTATTTTATTTTCTGAGATAGGCTCTTGTTAGGATCTTCCTAGGCTTATGGCTGTGGAGGTGCTGGTATTATAGGTATGTAACACTGTACCAGCCTCAATTATTTTTATTTTTGAGCTGTTCTTACTCCAGCCTGGTGGCTTCAAACCCATGGCAATCCTCCTGCCTTAGCTTCCAAAGGGCTGGGATTATAGGTAGAGCCACCTAGCCAAGCTGCACAATTTCTCTGTCCCCTTTCCCCTCCGTCCCTCTTTCCATTTCTTGTTGTGTATCTGTATATACCGTGTATAGGTGCTTGCATGTCCGGAGACCAGAAATCACCTTAGATGTCATTCTGCAGAAGACATCATCTTGTTTGTTTTTTGAGACCGGGTCCTCAGTGACCTGGAACTCATCAAGTAGGCTTGGCTGACTGGCCAGGGAGTCCAGGCACCGGCCTTGTCTTTACCTCCCCAGCTCTGCTATTACAGATGCATGCCACCATGTCTGGCTTTTTCTGTGGGTTCTGTGGATTAACTAAGGTCCCCATGCTTGCATAGTAAGCAGTTTACCAACTGTTCTTTCTCTCCAGTCCATCAGTTCTTTGTTTTATTCCTTGTCTATATAGTATCATATCAGCATTTAGTTTGTGATTTGTGAACAAGATCATCTTCAAAGTTGAAGACTTTCAGAGTAAAAAACCCCAAAAAACAAAAAACAAAACAAAAACAAATAAAACCTAGCTCCTCATTCAGCAACGAGATAAAATTGACTTAGGATATATACCAGGTATGGTAACATACACCTGTAATCACTGGACATAGAAGGATGAGGCAGGATGACTATCTGAGCTCAAGGCTAACCTTGGCCTACATAGTTCGGGGCCAACCTAGGCTACAGAGGGATACTTTCTTAAAAAGCAAAACAACCAAGCATGGTCCCACGCCGATAATCCTAGCACACAGGAGGCTGGGGAAGGAGGATTGCTGTGAGTTCGAGGGCAGCCTGGGCTGCAGAGTAAGTTCCAGGTTAGCTTGGGCTATAGTGAAACCCTGCTTCACAAAGCCCAAATCAAAAACAAAGTAAAAAGTTTGGGGGGCATGGTAACACACACCTTTAAGCTCAGCACTCAGGAGGCGGAGGTGGCTGGATCTCTGTGTTTGAGGCCAGTTTGGTCTATATAGTAAGTTCTAGGACAGCCAGGGCTACAGAGAGCGACCATCTCAAAGAGACCATATTCTACCATATACTACTAACTCTAGTGAATGGTTACTGATAAAAGTCTATACGTAAATTATAGCAACTATGAGACAGAAGTAAATGTAGCTATTTCTTAAATCATGCTTATGCTAAATTCCTATTTTAAAAAAAACCACCAAAACCTGTATAGGGAAGAAACCATTCCACAAGCGTCAGCTTCGCTTTGTGCAAACCTGCTCTCCTCTGTCCTTACCGTTTCGGTGAGGCTTCCCTGGCCGCCCTTTCCAGGTAGCCCTTCCTCCCTGTCGTCTTAGCCCCCTTCTTGGCTTGCTAAACACACAGCACTCCACCCAGGATGGCACTACAGTGCCAACACTGGTTCTGCAAGGAATCTGTCTTCACTTTCGTTCCCTCTGGGATCAGAACACTCAGGAAATCTAATGAGCATGGCATGAAAAATGTAAAGTCTGAGCCAAAGGTACTAAGTTGTTATTCATCTGACCTTAGTACTGTGACTACTCAGCCACAGAGAATCCCAAGAAAGTCATTTCAATCTCTAAGAGGAATTGGAGGGAGGGCCTGCTTAGCGTCTGCCTCTGGATTTTGAGAAAGGGAGAGTGCTGGTGGTTGAGCCCAGGCTCTCATCCAGCCAGGCATGTACTCTACCACTGTGCCCAACCCAGCCCTGAGGATTTAAAACAAACATAAAACCTATCAAATGAAGTTTAACGTAGGTAAACTCTCAAAAATAAGATGTAGCTTCCTATCTAAAAGTGAACATTAAAACAGGCTGGATTTCAAAACAGAAGACTCAGTATCAATACACTTTTAAAAGCTAAAAGGAAAAGGTTTTAAAATATTTTTTGAAAGTAACTACATTTTTACCCCTTAGAACCTGTACAGACAAACAGAACTGAAGGCCTGGGTTCTGAGTCTAATAATGTTCCTAGCTTATTTAAGCACATCTTTTATTTTCTTGGTGCTTTGGTTTCGCCGGCAGGATGTGGTGAGAGCAGAAATTATATTTTTCATTGTTTCCCTCACCTCTACTTATATAAATGATGGTTATTAGAAGAATTTTGAAACTTTTTATCAGCTACTCAGTACAACAAGTTACGATGCATCATCATATCTGGGTTATTGCAGCCCCCTTCAGGAAACCACATGAGGACTTCAGGACACTGGCCATCCCAGTTTTAGTGGTTGTGATCTTTCTCAAGCTCATGATTTCAAGTCAGCAATGAAAAGACTCGCAACAGTCTAAAGGTTACCTCCACGTATTGGCATCTGGGTCAAAAACTTCAATGGTCTTCAAGTATGTTGTGCCATCAAAACCTCCTACTGCCATGAGCTGTCCATTGACCACCGCCAGACCAACCTGGAAGAGAAAGCACCGTGGCTGCTGGAGAACTGAGACAAGGACCGGGAAATTTAGACCTTCTCTAGACCGACTGCTCAAACCTCTCACGGTTTCATTTTATAGTTTCCATGAATTCAGAAAGACAAAGTAGCAGTTGACTGTGAAGTTATGGGAACCATTACACTATTTATCTAATTACAAGATGTACACAAGAATCAGAACCTGTATTTGTAAAATTTAGAAAACCACTCACTAGACACAAACAAGAACCTCCACCTGCTCCCACTGCCGGTTTGCTCATTCTAACCCACTTTCTAAACTGCTACTAAGATATTCTTAAGAATACACATATAAACATGTCACTCCTGTTCAGAAACTCATTAGCTTCCCTTCTACCCAACGACAGGGTTAAGGTCCACAATGTCACTCAGGCCTTTCAGAAATCGGTTACAGGCCACCACGTTTGGCCTCACCTCCTACATTTCCCTCTCCCCTAATGTACTCTATGCTCTAGTAATGCTGGCCTAACTGTTAATCTCTGCAATAGTATACAGGCTTTAATAACTCATGTGAATTAAACCCATTCTCCCACGTCCTTTATCATATACACCACTACCACAGCACATCTCTACTGTAAACATTTCAGTTTCCTTCACCAGACTGAGAGCTCCATAAGGAGAATTTTGTAGACATTTCTGCCTTCTAACTGAATGAAAATATAATCAAGATGGAGCAGTGAGAATAACAGAAATATAACTAAAAATCTGTTAAGTTTTCAGTAATAAGAACCACAGATATGTGAGTCTTTCACTTGCTGGTGCTTTTCAGTGAAGCCCCTTGACTTTCGCAAACAGAATTTGCTCCTTTTTATCCTCAGATTACAGAGTCCTTAGAGACTGTTCACTTCTCTTTCCTGTTGAGTAAGTGTCCTATATTGATGGACTCCTGCCATCATTAGCGGCTAATGGGTTAGGTTTCTCTGAGACAAACATTCCCAGAAGGGTGGATTTTATGTTCCACCTTGGACATCTTTAGTGGCAGGCCATTCATTCATGAGAGCACAACACTCAGCCAGATCTGGCCTCCATTGTAGATGGGACAGACCCAAACCAGCTTTGGGCCAGATACGTTTTACCTAAATATTTGCATTTGTATGCAAAGTCTACTTGGAAAAAATAGCTAGAAATATTACATAGGAATAGTTAGTGCTAATATACAGAAGTTAAATAGAGGAGTAGAAGATATATAGGAAAGATACCTTTCAGAGAAGCAGCTGATAGAACAAACACAATAAAAAAAACTACACAATTAAATATATGAATGGATGGAAAATATTTAGCTACTGCAGTTAAAAGCAATCAAAAGAAATACAAGCTTTTTGGTTTGGGGTTTGTTTTCCTCCTGTTTTGTCTAAAAGCATCTTGACAGCTGAGACAATTGAAATTAAGCACGTGGAGATCAGGATGTCACCTCCTCAGTGTTCTAGTGTAGCTCACACTTCAGAGCATTCCTTCTGCACCCCCCCCCCCCCCCCCCCCCGCCCCGCCCCAGGGCTTGTTTCCAAGCTCCAAGCTCTCAGCAGCCGCACTTACTCCACTCCTGCGGGATGTCATGGCCACCACAGGAGACCACTGGTTGGTTCTGGGGTTGTACCTCTCAGCACTGCTGAGCTCTGTGGTGTCATCTCTCCCTCCCACAGCATAGATCATGTCCTGGTACACTGCACAACCTAGGTGTTTCCTTCGGGTCCCCATAGGGGCTATGGTGTGCCATCTGTTTTCCTGAGGATTGTAGCGCTCCACTGCGGTGAAAAGACAAGACCAGAAAATGACCACTCATCTGCTCCCTTCACAGCCACTAAAACTGCAATGACATTTATTTTCAGTAAATAATCTGATTGGGAACCAGTTTCTTGCAGTCATCTTCGGAGAAAAGGACATGTGTTAAGTTCTAGTTTTGGCTACATAACTAATTAATGCGCTCTCTTTATCTTCCAACAGGGTGGAACTAGATTGTGATTTATAAGAACAGTTTAGTACTAAAATTTTATTGTCATAATTGAACAGCTTCTGTACTCTTGTACTCCTCATATTATTTATTTAATTACTTATTTATTTCATGTTTTGCTTTTTTAAGATGGGGTCTTGTTCTGTGATACAGGCCTAGAACTAATTATACAGCCCAGGCTAGCCTCAAACTTATGATCCTCCTGTTCCTGCCTCCTAAGTACTGGGATTACAGGCATGCTTTATTTACCATGCTAGTGTCTTTTAAGCCACTAAAGATACATAACAATGAATCTCATGGGTGTGCCACTGACATATCCTTAGATGAAAACACCCACTATCTCTAGACTGAAAAGGCAAAGAAGCTTGTAGTTCTAAGGTTTTATTAGATTCTTGTATTAAAAGAATTCTTTTTTTTAATTGAGGGCAGGTTGTGATTATGGGAGAAAGGGAAATCACTCTATTTAGAAAGTATGGTTTTCCTCCCCACTGATCACTAATTGAGAAAATGCCTTACAGCTGGATCTAATGGTGGCATTTTCTTATCTGAGGCTCCTTCCTCTCTGATGACTCTAGCTTGTGTCAAACTGGCACACAAAACCAGCCAGTACAGATGGATTCTTCCCAGGAAAACATGCTGCTTTTGGGACTCAGACTGCCTTGGGGAGGGACTGACCTGTGTTGAGTGGAGATGTTCCATCAGAGCCACCTACGGCATATAAGAACCCTCCCAACACAGCCACAGCAACTCCAAGTCTTCTAGTACTCATAGAAGCCACCCGAGTCCACTTGTTCTCCTTTGGATCATACCTGCAAGGAGGAAAAACGTATTCCTATTAGTCCAAGTCATTTCCACAGGTCTGAAACCACAAGAGATATAATGGATACGGAGATTTACCATAGCTTAAAAAACATTTACCATAGCACACACACACCAAATTTTGTCATTTGTGACAATGGGAAGAACATCGGGAACATTTTGCTAAGTGAAATAAATCAGACACATGAAAAAAATACCATATGATCTTGAAGACAGAATCTAAAATTAGTCTAGTTTATAGAAGCAAAGAGTAGAATGGACTCTTCCTGCAGAGAGGGGTTGGCAGGATCAGAGAGATGCTGGGCAAAGAATAAATTCAAGAAATCCAAAGTACAACATGGTGAGTAGTTACTGTTGAAATTGTTGAGTGTAGATTTTAACTGTTCTCACCAAACCCCCAAAGTATGTAAGGTAATACATCAGTTAATTAGTTTGACTTAGCCATTCTACATGGTTTAAATATTTAAATATATCATGTTTACCACAAATATATTTTTATTAATTAAAGAATAGATCCTAGGGGCTATAAAATGGTAGAAGGAGAGAACCAATCCCCCAAAGTCATCTTCTGGCCTACACATACACACACAAACACAGACACAGATACAGACAGATGCACACACACTCGCACGCACACTCTCCCTCTTTCTCATAGTAAGTTCTAGGCCATTTAGGGCTACAAAAAATACTAAAAGAACTCTGTATGTCCATTAACACAATTGAAAATTATTTTGATTAAAATAAATCACCTCTCGACAATATTGAGGCAAGAGACACCATCCTGTCCGCCCACGGCATAGAGAAAGCCTCCAAGTACTGCCACGCCAACGCTTGTCCTGCACGTGCTTGTAGGGGCCACGTCACTGCTCCACTGGTTTGTTTTGGGGTCGTATCTGCAGAGAACACACTAAAAGTTTGAATTATGTGCTGGAGCTTGGCTGTGTTTATGGTAATTTGTTGTGGAATAATCTTTCTGTACACTGTGAAGATGTGTCTTTGCCAAGGCACCTTCTCATTGGTTTAATAAAGAATTAAATGTCCAATAGGTAGGCAGAAAGAGGAGGGGGAAGGGGAGGGGAGAGATACCAGAGGACACAGAGAGAAAACAGGAGATGCAAGATGGAAGAGAGGTAAAAAGCCATGAGGCAAAACATAGATTGATATAAATGGGTTAATTTAAGTTATAAGAGCTAGTGGGGCAAGCCTAAGCTATAGGCTGAGCTTTCATAAGTAATAATAAGTCTCCATGTCATTTTTTGTGAGCTGATGGCTCAAAGAAAAATCCATTATAGTATTTGGAACATATAAGCATATATTTCTATTTAAGGGCTGTTCTTCCCTCAAACAGATTAATAATCAAGCATATGAAAACTGAACTGAGCAGTGCTGGGGACTGAACTGGGGCCCACATGCTAGTAACTGTTCTGCTACAGACCTACACCCCTAACCTAAGTTATATTTTAAAATTTATTTTAACACTTAGTTTGAATACAATTTTTCTTTAAAAAAATCAGAATGCTACAGAATTCCATTTCAATTCTAGTCTCTTCCCATTTGGATTTGGCATACATCCTTTAAGTCTTTGCAATAAAATGTTATCCACATATGCATTTATTTAAATAATAGCACACACTGTGCAGTTTTCTTCTTGGATGTATTTTTGAGATCTCTTTTTGTTAATATAATTCCAGGTTTTTCCTTTGAACTATTTTGTTATACTATAATGTGTGATGCATTGTTTAATGTTATTTTTTAAAAAATGATTTATTTTTATTTATGTGTATGTATATGTGTATCTGTGTATATGTGCCTATGAATGCAGTACCCACAGAGGGCAAAAGAGGGTGTTGGAGCTCCTGAACCTGGAGTTAGATGGTTGTGAGCTGCTCAACTTGGGTGCAGGAAACTGAACTCAGTTCCTCTAGAAGGGCAACAGTGTTCTGAACCACCGAGACATCTTTCCAGTCCCTTAATCACATTCTTATTTCTTTATTCTTAGGTTGTTTCTGATACTCTGAGAATTAGAAACAGGACTTACAAGGCTGAGCACATAGCTCAATAGTAGAGTGCTTATCTAGCATGCACAAGACTCTTAACCACTGAAAAACAAACAACAACAACAACAAACTTAAAAAAAAAAAAACCCAAAAGAATGCTAAGTTGCTCCCTGGATAGCTATATCCTGTAGCATGAATCTTAAATGGTCTTATTAATTAAAACAAACCCAAGGCCAGTTATTGGAGTGAATGCTGGAAGATCAGAGAAGCAGAACAAGCCATAGCCTCACCTCGCCAATTCCTCAGCTGATCCTGTTTCCTCAGACTGGAAGACTCTGAGTCCTCATCCAAATGGATCTCAGCTGAACTGCTACTCAAAAGCCTAAAAGCTTAACCAGGCCTAGTTCCTTGTCCTCACACCTTATATACCTTTCTGCTTTCTGCCATCACTTCCTGATTAAAGGCGTGAGTCACCATGCCTGGCTGTTTCCAGTGTGGCTTTGAACTCACAGGGATCTGGATGGTTATCTGCCTCCCAAGTTATAGGATTAAAGGTGTGTGTGCCACCATTTTCTGGCCTCTATGTCTATCTAGTGGCTGTTCTGTCCTCTGACCCCAGATAAGTTTATTAGTATGCACAATACATTGGGGGACATAATATATCACCACAATATCCATTTCTACTTTTTAAGTTTTCATTACTTTCCCTTTCTTCCTCATTGCTTTATTTTTCTTTTTGTTTTGCTGGATTTTGTTGCTCTTCATAACTTCTTGATTTAAAAACATGATTTGCTTTTTCTTTCTTTTTTCTCTTTGACACAGGTTCTCACTATGTAGCTCAGAATGGCCTCAAACTTGTGATCCTCTCCTGCTTTGCCTTCCAAGTGCTAGGATTGCCTAAGTGTGCCGCCTGTTGCTTTCACTTTTCTTCCTTTCCAATGCGTGTAACGTATCACTCATGTTTGCCTCTGTGTACCACCTTAGTTACGTTTTATACACTTGGTATATACTGATCTCATTGTTAAGCTACAAACATTTAGTATCTGTACTTTGATTTCTTTAGCCCACTGATTCATGTCTAAGTGTCATTCTCCCTGTCATCTCTCCCCCCACAATCTACAGAGCCAACCCTTCTGTTTTTGTTTTTTAGCTCTGCCATATCTAGAACCAATATCCAGAACTGGGTATACCAGTTTTTACAAATATGCTATGGAGCTCTAACAAACCATTGTAGGTCAACACAACTTAATGAAAGACAATATGAGGCAATAAGAAACTTAAAAAAAAATCACTCACTGTAGAGTTCCAATGTGCCAGGTACCTCAACAACTGAACAGTATGAAATGCACAAGCATGCTTAAAATATTCATGAAAGAGCAGAGGAATGAGTAACTCATCCATAGTCAGAGAAAGCTTTGTGCGGGAAGTAACATTTCAAATCTTGTAAGCCTTATAGGGTCAAAAGTGTTTCAGGGGAAAAGAATGTATATATACATGCATACAGGCAGGGACAGAAGAAGTCAGGAAGCCAGTTTGACCAGAGCTGTAGCTCTTTGTTGTGTCTGCAGTAGCATGCTTAGAGAATGGTGTCAATGGAAAGAGACCAGAAAAACTGGTAGAGATCAGATCACAAAGGTCTCGTGTGTCTTTCGAAGGAGTCTAGACTGTTAGTCTCACAGATGTAATACTAAAATAGTAAGTTACATTTGTTTCTTAATTGACATCTCAAACAAAATCATAGGGACAATAGGGATTTTTTTCAAATTAACCTTACCTTTCAACACTATTGAGATATGAGGATCCATCATGGCCGCCTACTGCATATAACAGGTCATCAAGAACACTGACTCCAACGCCACATCGCCTTTTACTCATTGACGCTACCATTCGCCACTCATTGGTCTGTGGATCATACCGTTCAACACTGGAAATGGCATCTCCACTACACCAACCACCAACTAGGAAGCGACAGAAACGGTTAAGAGAATGCCTCTCTTAAGGTAGACTGCTAAGCTCACTGTGACCAATGCTCTGACTCACTAAGCACATGTAGAAGCAGGTCAAGGACAAGTTATAGTCACCAAAAGCCACCAGCAGTTACTGGGCTATAACCTTGATCTTGGATTCTAATCTCCAGAACTGGGAGAAAATGCATTTCTTTTGTCTGAATTACTGAGTCTACAATATTTTGTTATGGCAGCCTGGGTAGACTAATACAGTGAGTAAGATTTTAAAAAAACTGCCAAGTTCCATTATCCTTTTCTAAATGACCATGGTGCGGGGAGGGCTGAGGTAATGGCAGATAAGCTAAATTTGTTTTTCTTTCAAATCATCCCCATTTCAATACAAAATGAGAGTGATTCTGAAGCTTAAAAAAATACAAGGTTATTTTATGCTCAAAACACTTTGGAACTACTAGTTTTTACATGGTGTCAAATAAATTCCTGAGCTACATTAAAAGCAGAATAATATTAACCATCTTCTAGACAGACCTAAAAGTTCACTTTCTTTCTTTCAAATCTCAATGTGATATAATTTTACTTTACTGTTGTTTCATCTAAATCAGAAGAGTCACCTAGTACTAAACCACAGCACGTCTTGTATACAGTAATTTCCTTAAATATGAATTGTGTAATTGGGCATCTACAAGGAATTTCAATATCCGAGAAGACATCTTAAACTCTAAGATGGCCCTAGGCTGGAAATGTGAAGGTTCATAATCTTTGAGATCAAACAGCCTAATCATTAAATCTCTGGCACAAGTGCATAGTGGAAAGTTATTAAAACCAGCTTTATATTGGACTGTATGGCTTCGTATCAAATAAATGCTACCTAATAAGTGGTATTCTTCAATATCATCAGGAAAAAAAATGGACCTTTCAGGAACAAGATTTAAATCTTGCCTGTTGACTTAAGAGAAGTCTGAGACATAGTTTGTTAGTTCCACCTCCTCATGGTGATTTTGTGTGCACTATGATTCCCCATGTCAACCATGGATGACATAGTTTGATATTAGAGACTTAACTGTGGATCCCCAAAATCATATATTCAAGCTGAAGTCCCACTTTGTCTGGAGACTGCCTTTACGGAGAAATTAAAGCGAAATGAAGTCATAAAGGTGGGCCATTAGAGTAGGACCAATGAGAGGAAAAGACGGCAGAGTTCTCTCATCCTGCCGCTGCATGCTGAGGAAAGGCCACATGAGGCCAAGGGCACAGGGAAAGGCACTCTGCTTATGGAGGAGGGAGGTCTCAGCCGCAGCCACCGCTGCTGGAACCTCAGCCTACACAACGATGAAAAGACAGGTTTCATTTCTTTTCTTTTCTTCTGTTTTTGAGACAGGGTTTCTCTATGTAGTTCTGGCTACCCTGGAACTCATTTTGTAGACCAGGCTGGCTTCAAACTCACAGAGACCCACCTGCCTCTGCCTCCTGAGTGCTGGGATTACAGGCGTGCACTACCACACCTGGCTGAAAAGACAGATTTCTATTAAGCCATTTGCTATGGTGTACCAAGTTGTAATTATTAAAAAGAAATCCCAAACCTGGGAATTCTTAATTTCTGTTAAATAACATGTACCTAAAGAAAAATATTCAGAAAAGGAGCCATATACCTTTGTATAATATATGTGATGTTTACAATTATTTCAGATAGACTTGCCCAAACACGCTACAATAAAGAAGGCTACGCAAACTTTGTAGGCATCATTAAACCTAATGAAAATTAAGAGTAAAATCAAGAAATGAATATAGCCACAGTGGTGGCACACATCTTTAATCCCATCACTTGGGAGGCAGATTTCTGTGAGTTCGAAGCCAGCCTAGTCTACAAAGCGAGTTCCATAACACCAAGGCTATTACACAGAGAAACTCTGTCTCAAAAGACAAAACAAAACAAAACAAAACAAAAAAAAAGAAAAAAAAGAAAGAAATATATCAATAAGAATAAACATCTTGGGCTGGAGAGATAGCTCAGAGGTTAAGAGCACTCACTGCTCTTCTAGAGGTCCTGAGTTCAATTCCCAGCAACCACATGGTGGCTCACAACCATCTGTAATGAGATCTGGTGCCCTCTTCTGGCCTGCAGTCATACATGCTGTATACATAATAAATAAATAAATTTAAAAAAAAGAATAAACATCTTTAATCTGAAAATCTGATATTTGAAATGTTCCAAATTGCAAAACTTTTGGAGTACTGACATGATTTTAAAGTATTGTTGACTTCAGATTTTTCAGATCAGAGACAACCAATCCTTAGAATCACCTAGAAGACATATCTCTGAGTGTGTCTATGAAGGTGTTCTCAGTGAGATCCAGCTAAGGGGGTGGTACCAGCCTGAATGTGGGTGATATCAGCCTGAATGTGGGTGGTATCAGTCTGAATGTGGGTGGTACCAGCCTGAATGTGGGTGGTATCAGCCTGAATGTGGGTGGCACCAGCAGCTAAGGGGGTGGTACCAGCCTGAATGGGGGTGTACCATTCCATGGATGAGGGTCTGGGATTGAATAAAAAGAAAAAGTGGATAAAGTAAGTTGAGCATCAGTAGCCACTCTCCGCTCCCTGACTGCAGAGCAGTGTGGCCAGCTGCTTCATGTCCCTGCTGCCACAGCTGAGAGCCACTCTGGCCACCAGGCCGTCGTCCTCAACATGATGGGCTACACCCCTTAACTGTCAGCCAAAGTAAACCCTTCTTCTCTTAAGCTTCTTCTTGTCAGCTACTCTGTTACAGCAACATGTAAAGTAACTGACATCCGTGGATACAATGAAGTGCCCCCAAAGGAAGGGTTGCAAACATTTACAGGCAAACAGTAGCGGTAAAATAATATATCAGCTGTCCTGAGCTCAACTAATCTGAAAAGAGTCCGGAGTCTTTAATATAAAATAATGCTTTCGGAAACTCCACGTAATTATGACATGACCTGCACTTTGGTATACAGATTAATGCATGTAACAAACATACATTGTATGATATTTTTAGATGGATTTTCAGAGTATTCTTTTGAAGAATAACATTGTTGACTTACTATGTGCATCTTATGATAGTGGGTATCATAACAATCTAAATGATTATTCAAAAAATATGAAAATATTTGGTTTAATCAGAGTGTATTAAAGTTCAAGCCCGTTGAGCCAGGCAAATCTCTGTGAGTTCAAGGCCAGTCTGGTCTACAGAGCGAGATCCAGGACAGGCACCAAAACTACACGGAGAAACCCTGTCTTGGAAAACCAAAAAAGATTCAAGCCCATATTAGGATGTATCTTATGATAGCAGGTATCACAATATCTAAATGATTATTAAACATATATGAAAATATTTGGTTTAATCAGAGTATAGTAAAATTCAAGCCTGTCCTGGGCATAGATAGAACCTACAATTCTAGCACTAGGAGGCTGAAGTGGGAGGGCCACAGGTTTGAGGCCAGCCTATACTACATAGAAAGTTCCAGGACAGGTTGGGCTATACAAAGAGATTTTATCTTAAAAAACAAACCCCCCAAGCCCCCCAAACCCCCCCTGAACAAACAAACAAACAAGAGGGACACCTGCAAAGAGCACTTCTCCACATCGGATAGGTTTCCGTGGTCTTGTCCTTGGCCCTTGCATCAGTGGTCGTTCTTGAGGCAACAGGAGGTAGTTTTTAGCCTCATCTACCAAGTCTCTGTAGAAAAGAAACTTTGCAGTTATTCCAAATGGCTAAATACTGTTGTAAGCTAAGTCCCTATACGGTGTCAGAAAACGCATGTTGGCAAAAGGGAACAAGCACACATGTTGGCAAAAGGGAACAAGCACGCATGGTGGCAAAAGGGAACAAGCACACATGTTGGCAAAAGGGAACAAGCACGCATGTTGGCAAAAGGGAACGAGCACGCATGTTGGCAAAAGGGAACGAGCACGCATGGTGGCAAAAGGGAACGAGCACAAGTTAAGCCAAATCTTGTTGCCCGGCAACACAAAAACTGGCACAAACATGAAACCATGACGCAAGTCACACTAGGAATTCTGAGTTGGTTAGCATTTCTACCATAACTTCATACTTGAGGCAAATTTTAACCTAAAGCTCAACAATCATAAAGCAGACAATATCTTACCCACTCCCCACCCCATAAAAAGATCTAGCTCGATCACCAGCTTGCACAGTCACTATTTTCTAATGAGTTTTATTAGGTTCTATAAGACACGGGGAGAGGACATCAGTAAGAGCAGTAGGTATCTGCTAGTACTTCAGGATGCTAATACTAAGGTACTATCTAGCAACAGATGCATGGTTTAATACAACTGGTTCACTGACAGGAACAAAAACTTTCCCAATGTTCCTTTAAGAGCACAGCCTAGAGATTATACATAGTACAATATTCTGTATATAAATCTCCTAGGTGATTCAGTGCCTGATTTATGTAAATTCTACTACACTGTTATACTTCAACTCTGCATGTGCCCTGGACTACTCTGCTTTAATTTCTCACTATTTATACTACATCGAGTAATTTGTACATGATTGGTGCTATGCATAACCCCAAAATGCATTTTTCTCCTAATTTATTTATCCTAGTAACAAAATAAACAGAAAACCAAACTAAAATGAAAAGGAAGTCAAACCAAAGATTAAGAGTTTTTTCTGGTTCCCCAAACTTGAAAGACTGATTCCATCAGTTTCTACTCCAGCCAAAGGTTCCAGACAGACCGCAGCACAGACACTTAGCAGTCAACACAGAAGCAACAGCAGCAGTGTGACAACCTTTTAACTTCTGCTAGAAACTCTCACTGTATGCACTCACATAATGAACAGCCCTGTGGGTCAGGTGCTGACCTCTCGCTCTTCACTGATGACGGACGGAGCTATAGCATAGAGTGAGCACTGTCCAGTGCTGTGGCTAGGGTATCAGGAGTCAACTTTCCAAAGTGACTAGACAAGTACTTTACTTCCCATGTCAGGGTCATTATAATCTGATTTATACTGAATTCGGGGAGGGATAGTCCTGTATTATTCCTTCATATTCCATCCTGTAAAGTTTACATATTTCCCTTCTGTTATTCATAGAATTAGGGGAACTGACTGCTACTGATCTATTCTGTTCTATTTCTACAAATGTAAAGGTTTTTTCAACCTTTATTCATGTGTATGGGATGCAAGTGTCACAGCATGGATGTGCAGGAGTCAGTCCTGTTCTTCTACCATGTGGCTTGGACTGAACACAAGTTGTCAGGCATGGTGACAAGGTACTTTACCCACTGAGCCATCTCAGCAGTACTCCCCACCCCAAACGTGCACTTTTTCAAATTTAAAAGACAAACATCTAATCTTAAATGCTGCATTTCTCATTAACGGCAAGCCCGAGATCACAGAGGAAATGCAATGGATTATATGCCCTACCTATGTACTAGAATCTGGGATAATTCCAAATTTCGTTATTGGCAAGGGGAGGCCCAATGGACAGTGTGTGAATAGTTGAGAATATTGAGTAGTTCTCACTCATATTTGGAATATGTTGGGGGTGGAGGTGGAGTTGTTAAAATGCTAAAAGGTTTCAGATGTGAAAATAAATCTTAAAATCTGCCAAACTCAGGAATCCATTTATTAAATCAAGCATGTATCTATTATAGAGATAGCTCAGTATATCAGTGAGGTCTTCATTCTTAAGACTATTTGGAAATGACTTCATTGAGCACTATCAACGGCCTCCCCAAAGCTACCTTGGGAGGGACAGGGCTTTTAACTCTGCCTATAATCTTCAAAGTAAGTCTATCCTATTCCTCAGTTAGACATTATGTGATCAATGAGAAGGTATTCACTGACAGACTCACAGCATTATTTAATTTATTTCACAGAAAAACAATAGTAGAGAATTGATTCTTCAAACTTGCATCAAAACTTAGAAATCTACTTCTTTATTGCCACTTCTATGCCAATAAGCATCACACTAAAAAACAAAACAACAGGGGCTGGAAAGACAGCTCAGCAGTAAAGAGCACTGGCTGCTCTTCCAGAAGACCTGGGTTCAATTCCCAGCACCCACATGGCAGCTCACAACTGTCTGTAACTCCAGTTCCAGGGGACCTGACACCCTCACACAGACATACATGTAGGCAAAACACCAACACACATAAAATAAAAATAAGTAAACAATTATTAAAAAACAAAACAACAAAAACTCCTAAGGGAACAGAATACTGGAAGTTCAGTCCTCTCTTCCTTTTCCCCTTGACCCTAGTCCAGAAGAAGAACTTGTTAAATACTGCCCTGGTTTTGGCATAAGAAATACAATATTTCAGAAGCAATATCAGCAAGGAGAAAAAAAGAAGTTAGGAATGCTCAGTTGTTGAATTTTCTCATCCATTCATACCTGCATTCTTCATCACTTTTAATGAGGGGATCAGAGCCTACGGTACCCACCAGGAACTTGGGACTAAGCAAAGGCAGGCGGACATGCTGCAGCACCTATGAGGTAATAAACACAGTTAAGGCTTGAGCTGTCATTACAACGCGTTAGGAGAGTAATGACTCACGCTTACTGACCGTGTGGCCAAGAGTTTGGGGATCTAATTGGACATAATAAGTAAAGAAAGTGGAAGGGATAAAGAGAGACTCTAAAATGTATTCTAACTATCAATTCAGTAATGTAGACTAGTTACAAAACTAAAAACATGTTAATAGCACTTTAAAATGCTACTTTTAGCTTTCGACAATAAGTTATAAACTCTTAGAATATACTTTCCAGGGCTGGAGAGATGGTCAGCAGTTAAAAAGTACTTGTTTTGCAGAAGACCTGGTCATAATGCCCAGCATCCACATGGAAGCTCACAACTGTCTGTAACTCCAATCCCAAGGAATCCAAAGCCCTATTCTGACCTTTATGGACACCAGGCACACACATGTTGTACACACATACATGGAGGCAAAACACTCATACATATAAAATAATGAATAAACACATCTCAAAAAATACACTTTCCCCTTATCTTCAATTTTGCTTTCTGCATTTTCAGTTATTGGTTGTTAACTTTGGTTAGACAATAATAAATGAAAAATTCCAGAGATAAAAATTTGTAAGTTAAGTTACTTTTATTATATAGTATGCTACTATAAATATCCTGTTTATAATTAGTTACTGTTAATCTTTACCAGACCTAATTTATAAATAAAACTTTATACATATATTCTGTGATAAAGTATATGTTTATATATATACTGTGAGATATATATATGTATATATACATATATATACCTACTGATATATATATTGAAAAAAACATAGTTGATATAGCGTTTGAAGGTTTTAGGTGTCCTTTAAATATCTCCTCTGAATCAGGAGGAGACTATTTATAGTCATGACAAGAATGGATCTTAAACATGTGACGGTTCAGTCCCAATTCAATCACTTACTGTTCAAAGTGTGGCAGGACTTCCAAGCTCTTGGAGCAGATAATTCTTGCTTTCCTTTATAATTTTACATAATTTCTGAATTGTGTAACAGTTCAAACAGAATGAATTACAAACAGACAGGAGGCAAAGGAGCAATAAGTTCACAACAATAAGCAGTCAAATGCTTCTAAAGGCTTACTGCCTACATTATTTAGAAACAAGGACTGTTTTTTTTTTGGTGTGTGTGTCATGACTGTCTTGTTTCTGCAAGACAAGTACGTAATTTTTGTCTAGTACAAAGCAGTTTCTCAGAGAAGCATTTCGACTCTTACCTGGGGTAACTGAGGCCGTCTTTCCTGAATACTGTATTTGACCCAGGCCATCACTGCGTTGAACACTTGTTCTTCACTCCGAACGTTGAGCTCATCACTAGATATTATATCGATGAGTTGGTTGGCCGGAAGTAACATGAATTCTTCACTTTCCATTACCTGCTCAGATTTAGGTAAGAGAAAAGGAACCCATAAGCACAATTTTTGCCTTTATCTGTTTTTTTGTTTTTGTTTTTGTTACAGGACAAAATTATATTCCACAATGGAGTCAGTATTTAAAACAAGGAGGAAAAGAAAAGTTTCAAAAGAGAATAAAGGAGAATAGAAAACACACATAAAGTTGACAAAGCTAATTGTTGTTTAGTTAGTTTAAAAGTTTTCCCTTTTAAAAAAATTAATGAATAAAATAGAAATTCATATTTAAAATAAGCTAAATAATCATACTCAATTGAAGCTTCATAATGATAGAAGGCATATAAAATGCCAGGAAAAGCTTCCAGAGGAAGAATAGCTGCTAAAAGGGTAGAAATGTCATGGACTCGGTTTACAAAAAGTATAAAGACACCATCATTCTGCAAGCATGAATATAATGAAAAGAATTAGACCAAGGGAAACTTACGAGGACCAAATCACTATGAGATAATATTCTAGTGAGAAATTACATACACACCCATGTTTACTTTCACCCAAGTCTAGAGAACTGTCAGAATGGAAATGATATGGCAATAAGGACGTTATTTTGGACAGGCCAGCCAAGAATTTTAAGCTCTTGTAAGTCTATTCATCATGATGTAATGGACAGGGTGAAATGCAGGGCAGGGGAACAGCTATTACTACCCTCTAGGTGGTTTCTCTATCACACTACATGTGATGTCTGGTGGCACGGGCAAAGTACTGTTTAAAGTTCAGACTCTGTGTTGCCTTTAATGAGCACAATGGATTGCTTTTGGGACACGGCTATCTTCTTGGTCGTCAAAAAGTTAGGATATGCCGGCGGTGGTGGCGCACGCCTTTAATCCCAGCACTCGGGAGGCAGAGGCAGGCGGATCTCTGTGAGTTCGAGGCCAGCCTGGTCTACAAAGTGAGTTCCAGGAAAGGCGCAAAACTACACAGAGAAACCCTGTCTCGAAAAACCAAAAAAAAAAAAGTTAGGATATAGCTGGGTGGTGGTGGCGGCGGCGCACGCTTTTAATCCCAGCACCCAGGAGGCAGAGCCAGGCAGATCTCTGTGAGTTTGAGGCCAGCCTGGTCTACAGAGCGAGATCCAGGACAGGCACCGAAACTGTACAGAGAAACCCTGTCTCGAAAAAACAAAACAAAATATTTATTTTACTATTTTTTTTGTGTGTGTATGAGTGTTTTGCCTGCATGTGTGTGGGTACCACATGCATGCCTGGTGCCCATGGAGGTCAGAGGGTGTCAGATTCCTGGGACTGGAATTATAGACAGTTGTGAGCTGCCATGTGGGTGCTGGGAACTGAACCCAGGTCTTCTACTAGAGCAACAAGTGCTCTGAAGTGCTGAGCCAATGCTCTAACTCTATGAAAGTCCTCTTAAAAGAAACTCTTTGCACTTCTGACCCTATGCTTCTGGTTTTCTTTTCTCCCTTTCTATTACCCAATGTCCTTTGCCAGTCGCTCCTTTGCTAAGCACCCTTCAGTTACTGGGAAGACTGCAAGGTGCTCCTTTATCTCCGCAGGGGCTCTCATTGGCTAACCACCCTTCAGTTACTGGGAAGACTGCAAGGTGCTCCTTTATCTCCGCAGGGGCTCTCAGTGGCATTATTTGACCACATTTATGGAGCTGTTTTAAAAATAAAAAAGTTTCACATATTTAGGCAGCTGAATCTTCCTTTACGACTTCTAGGTCATATCTCACTTAAAAGGGACTTGAATTAAGATTCCATCTCAGCCTAACCTCTCAAGGAATATCGATCCACAGGAAGAGTGGCCTGTTCAATATCAAACACAGAACCTCAATCCACTTCTTCAAACTCTTCGGCTCTCTAGTATATATGGTATAAATTCCTGAGAATGCTGAGTTTAAAAGTGGGTATAAAGAGTAATTTTTTTTTTTATTTTGCAATACAATTCAGTTCTACATATCAGCCACGGATTCCCTTGTTAAAGAGTAATTTTTATAGATACTGCCAAATTTCCTTTCAAGAGCCTTGTACCAATGCATACTTACACCAGCATGTACCTATGTCCCTACAGCCTCACAAGAGGGTATACGACATTTGAGGATATTTGTAACCCAAAACATGGCGCTTTGACCAGCTATGGTACGTGTGTCAATAAATGTTAGCAAGTAAGAGGCTGAGGCTGAGGCCTGGGCTGGAAAGTAAGACACTGTCTCAAAAAACAAAGCTGGAAGGAAAAAAGCACTTGGTGAATTTTAACTTGTCTCTCCGTTATTTTGAATAAACAAGCGGACTTTAAGATATTTAAGGACAGTCTGAATCTCTCTCTCTCTCTCTGCACTGTCTATTTTTTGGCTAGCTCACTGGTGTGAATTATTGGTGCTCTTGATGCATTAAGTAGCTTAGCCTTTTGATAGTGAATACAGATTGCAAATATTTCCCTCAATTTGTATTTGGCTTTTGTTTTAGTATCACAAAAAAACTGTGTATGTGATAAAATTGATAGATTTTAACTTTCAGCCTTTCTAGTCTAATCATTTAGAAATGCTTCTTCAAATTTCAAGATCATAAAGGGATTGTTTCATATCACTGTCATGTCAAATAAGTGAAAAATAGTGAGTTTAATGGAAATTCTTTTGGTACTATTTAAATTTGTCTTTTTTTAAATTATTTTTGGTTGTGAGCCTAGCCTTTAACGGCTGAGGCTAGGCTCACAACCAAAAATAATTTAAAAAAAGACAAATTTAAATAGTACCAAAAGAATTTCCATTAAACTCACTATTTTTCACTTATTTGACATGACAGTCATATGAAATTATTAATTTACCAAGTAGTTGGTGTATAACTTATCCTGTTGAGTAAACCATCTAATCGGGAGGGAAATGCTATAGGAAACCACTTCTCTGATGCACAGGTCCTCTCATGCACAGATAAACCACATATTGGCTTATTAATCAGGCCTTTATGATTATGAAACCAATGAAGTTGATTAGGGAGAAACAACTTATGCTGGTAAAATATAAAATTGGCCTTTAAAAATCACTAACAGGCTTGGAATTTATAGCAACCTATTTATTTGATATTGTGCTAGAACCAGAATACAAGGTAGGTGTTAGGAGAGCATAAATCCATATTGCTCTCTTAATTTAAAAAAGCATTTATTATTATTATAATTGTGTGTGTGTGTGTGTTTGTGTGTGTGCACTATAACACAACCATAGAGGTCAGAGGACAATGTTCTCTTCTTCTACCACAGGTTCTGGGGATAGAATTCAGGTTTACAAACTGTGGTGGTTTGAAAGAAAATGGCCCCCAAAGGGAGTGGCACTATTAGGAGGTGTGGCCTTGTTGGAGGAAGTGTGTCACTGTGAGGGAGGGTTTTGAGGTCTCTTTTGCTCAAGCTTCTCAGTGTGACTTTGAGTTGATTTCCTGTTGCCTGCAAGATGTAGCACTCTCAGCTCCAGCACCACATCTGCCTGCACACTGCCTTGCTTCCCAACATAATGATAATAGACTGAACCTTTGAACTGTTAAGCTGCCACCTCAATTAAATGTTTTACTTTATAAGAGTTGCCGTGGTCCTGGTGCCTCTTCATAGCAATAAAAAATAAAACTAAGAATCCCCTATAGCTCTTTTAACAGGTTACGAACACATTCAAATCACTTAATACAACTCGTGTGTGTGTGTGTGTTTGTGTGTGTGTGTGTGTGTGTGAATGCACATATATGTGGTGTACTTTGCCCATGCATGTTTGTGTAGAGGTCAAAGTCAGTGTTGGGTCTCTTCCTCTATCACTCTTCACATTATTATTATTATTATTATTACTATTATTGAGACAGATGGGGTTTCTCATTGAACCTGGAGCTATTTCAGGCAGACTGGCTGGTTAGCAAGCCCCAGGATCTTTCTGGTTTTGTGCCTCCAATGCTGGTTACAGATGTCTACTGACATGCCAGGCTCCTTTATTGGTTGCCAGGAGTTCAACTCAGGTCTCTGTGTTTGCATGACAAGCACTGTGCCCAGTGAGCCATCTCCCTAGCCCACAACTCACCTCTTGAAAGTTATGTTGAGTGAACTTGTCTGCAATCCTTAACAACTCACGGCAGGAGTGTGTATCAGCAAAAGCCCGAATGCCCAGGCAATTAGAAGGATCTAATTGTCTCTTTAAGAACTCACAGCAAGCTTCCTGTATTTCTGCCAGCTGGAGGAGGCAAGCAGCAGGCAGGAGGGTCTGAACATTGCCTTCTTCCACAGTTATCTGGGAGGTATATGCGAAGTCAATCAGTAGTTCCATAGCCCTCTCATCTATGTCTCGGATCACTACTTCTGTCTGGCGGCTTTCTGCCAATTCTCCTGTAAACATTGCTCGGAAGTAGGGACTGCAGGCCGACAGGATGACTCGATGGGCATATATCTTCTTAGCACCCACAACTAGCACCACATCACATAGCTCCCGGTGCTTTCTCAGAAGGTTGATCACTTCCAAGGTCTGCCGAGGGTGCTTGTCTGAGATATAGGGCATGCGAGCAGGTTGGGGAACCCCTTCTGGCAGTTTGTTGGGATCTCCAAGGGTGCAGCGGCTTGTTACATCCATTCCAGTCTCTCCTGGGCGAATGTTGGTACACCTACAGGAATGAGGGAGTGGACAGATATGGAAATATTATTAGTTCTCTTCTTGCTCTAAAGTATTCATAAGTGGTAAGAAAACTTGAAATTACTTAAAGGAAGAACTCTTTCTAAGAACTATAGAACTCACAAACTTCTTCACAGGCTATTAATCCATGTCAGACTACTTTTATTATATAATTTAATGAAAAAGATATTTTCTTCCAGAAGTATCAGACTGTCTTTGGCCATATTTCTTACATTAATAAAACTTAGGAAAAATTGATGGGGGGGAAGGGGAGAATCAGCCAAAACTAAGTATATATGAGAGTGCCCTAAGAAAATCGTTACTTTACAGGTTAATGAAAAACTAAAATTTCTGCAGCTGTTTTCTGTTTCCCTCTGCTTTGGGATCTGTGGACAGGAAAGACTGCTGAGAGGTTACTGGTGCCCCGTGTGCTGCTATACGTGGATGGACATCTCCCTATAGAATGCTGGGAATCCCGACTCCATGTCCAAGGTAGAGGATGACCTTTGTGGATAAGATGCTGCCTGAGTTTCCAGTTGTGAGCAGAATCCTGCCTGACTTTGAGTTCATTTACCCTCTTACCTCTTGTGGCACCAGGACCCCATTTCTTCCATGGGGCACTCTCATTGAAAGTTCACTCACAGAGGAACCCAGGTTTGAAGTGTCAGAGCTTATTTCCCAATACCATGTTCTGTTTGAAGAAAGTTTAGATTTAATTTTATAAGTGGTAGTGAATGATGGACGTTCATATGGGGAAACAACCAAGGACCACTGGCAAGAAAAACTCAGCATCAAATCAAGTGCTAAATTTTGGGGCCCAACCAGGATGTCACCTGAGAACATTGTTCCCATGTTGGATTATCTAACTTTTCTTCTTCAGTCCTAAGTGGAAGAATGTAGCTATACATTTGGATGATTAAGGCTGCCTTACCAACCTTGTACCAACTATCCTAGGATGACACTACCTCTTAGAAGTTGGAGAGATTCCTATGGATATCACTTTTCCGGGTCTTTTTGTTGTTGTTTTTTGAGACAGGGTTTCTCTGCATAACAGTCCTAGCTGTCCTGGAACTTGCTTTGTAAAACAGGCTGCCCTGGAACTCACAGAGATCCACCTGCCTCTGCCTCCTGAATGCTGGGATTAAAGGCCTATGCCACCATTGCCCAATCTTGTCAGTTTTTAATGTACTGGTTTTTTTTATTTTATTTTATTTTTAAGACAAGCTTTCCCTGTGTAGCCCTGGCTGTCCTGGAACTCATTGTGTAGACCAGGCTGGCCTCGAACTCAAAGAGATCATCCTGGCTCTACCTCCTAAATGCTAGGATTAAAGGCATGTGCCATCACCAGCTTGTTTTTCATGTTTTAAAATGAGTTTGCTCTTCTGTATTTGTTTACTAACTCTGTATGTTTAAAAAGGAGTTTTCTCAAACTTATAAAATTGTAACAAGTGATTTTAAAAAATAAAGACCTGAATATAAAAGATAAAAATTTAAAAGTTCATGAGAAGTATTTAAAATTAGTCTCTGGAAAAAACAAACAAACCCACCCTTCTCAATAAGACAAATCAGACCTATAAAACTGTTTAAAGAATTTAATTACATTTATTTTCTTTTAATTTCTTTACACTTATTTATTTGTTCTCTGTGTGTGTATGTGTGTGTGTGTGTGCGCACATGTATAGCATGGCATATGTGTGGAGGAAAGAGAACTTGAGGGAGGTGGTTCTCCCTTTCACCATGTGGGTTCTGGGAATCAACCGCAGTTCATCAGGCTTGGCAGCAAGTGCCTTTATGCACTGAGCCATTTTGCTGGGCCCAAATTTTAATTTTTTTTAAAAAATTAATGAATTACCTTTTTTGAGACAGAGTCTTTGTACATAGACCTGCTTGGTCTCTAACTCACAGAGAGTCACCTGTGAGTACTTTACCTCTGAGTACTGAATTTAAAGGCGAGCGTCACTTGCCTGACCCTACATTTTAATTCTTAAACTTGGTTTGATTCCAATCTTGATATTTGTTACTTTCCTAAAGTAGCTGGAACTTATTTCTCCTTTTCTTTTGGGTGCTAGTTTACTACTTCTAGTTACAGTTTAGCACATGAAAAGTCGGGAAGAAAAGCAGATAGCCACAAGCCCCCCAATAAACTTAAATTTAATACTCTATTTCTTTGACTCTGACGTTCAAGGGATGAGCTAGTATTTCAAGTGACATGTAATTCATCTTAAGAAGTCTTATCACTCAGGCATGACGATGCATGCCTGTAATCCTAGGATTTAAGAGAGGTGGAGTTAAGCCGATCAAGGACAGTCTTGGCTACATAGCAAATTCTTGTCTCGAAAACAGTCTTATTTAATCTAATAAGGTATGTGTCCAAAATATACAGTCAATTATAATAGTTCTAAAGAACTTTTTAAAAAGTCAGCACATACCTGCCCACATACACACCCCAAATCACAAAATCAAAAGCAGTTATATAAAGAATAGCATGGCGGCCTGATGCTGGGTAACTAACTGCTGAGAGCCAGACATAGTCAGAGGATTTTGCAATCTCTAATGAGAGGAAAGCTTAAAATCAAACTGTGACTAATAATGAAGAATTACATAAGTGCTAGGTTTTCACCAGTAATAAAAGCTCCGAGTAACTTCAGTATAGTATTTGCATTTCTAAAGTTATTAAATCAACATGTCTTATGAACGGGCAGTTGGTGAATAAACTATTGTAGCTTGTTCATCAAAATGAAGTATTTGCTGACACATTCACAGGCAAAAATGAACAGTGTGAAGTAATAAAATTCCTTTCCCTGCATATTTTCCCTGAATTGTTTTCTCTCCTCCTCAAGTCTAATACTAAAGTACTATCGCTATTCTGCTATAAATTTCGTATTTATCTAAACTTTTTACTATAATTAATCATTTTAATTATTTTGTTCTGTTCTAATTTATTGAAACTGGGTTTCTATATCCTAGACAGGTCTGGAACTCACTCTACAGCTCAGGTTGGCCTGGAACTCACAAAAGAGTCCAAGCTGGCCTCCTACTCCAACCTCCAAAGTATAGGGATTACAGACATGAGGCACCATACCTGGCTTCTAGTTTCTTTAACCCTAAACAGTATCAGATATGGGTTCCATCTCATGGAATGGGCCTTACATTCAATAAAAAAGTAGTTAGTTACGCCCAGAACATTGGTGCTACTATTTCAGTAGACAATATTCAACCCAAAGACCCACAACTAGACAGAGAGTAGAGACTCTGAAGCATTCGGCCCTAAACGGGACTTTTTTTTCAAACCCCTTCCCTAAAGGCTCAGGGATCTATGTGGAAGAGGAGGCAGAAAGAGTCTAAGAGCTAGAGGTGGTAGATGACTCCAAGCAGCGTCTCCAGACACAACAAGACTGATGCACATATGAACTCAGACTGTGACAGTACACACCAGACTGGCACAGGTTCAAACTAGACAAAATCCCAGTACTGAGAAAGAGAAGTGGATGGAAAGTCCCATCTCTAGCCAAGAAGCTATTTGAGATTGATACCTTCTGGGAAAGGGAAAATCAGTTTTCCTTAATGATGTGTGACTGGGTGTATCGACCACACTCTGGGGCAGGCCCCATGCCCGGGACTAGTTGGCCAACACAAAACAGACTCCATGCTTTTTTTTTTTTTTTTTTTTTTTTTTTTTGTGTGTGTGTGTGTGTGTGTGTGTGTGTGTGTGTGTGTGTGTGTATGTGTGCGTGCGCGCTTTTTGTTTTTTAATTTTTTCAGAAAGAAAGAAAACGAACATGAAGTGGGGTAGATAGGGAGGTGAGGAGGATCTGGAAGGAATCGGGGGAAGGGAAAGAATATGATTAAAATATACTGTATGAAAATTTTTTTTTTTGTTTTTTTGAGACACAGTTTCTGTGTAGCCCTGGCTGTCCTGGAACTCGCTCTGTAGACCAGGCTGACCTCAAACGTAAGAAATTTTCCTCCCTCTGCCTCCCGAGTGCTGGGATTAGAGGTGTGTGCCACCACGGCCTGGCGAAAAATTCTTAAATGAAAAATTTTCATTAAAAAAGTTCTGTTCCTAACAGAAGCAAAGTAGAAAACTTTAGATCTCAAAGATACAGAGCTTAAACTACTGCCTTAAAAAAAGTCTTTTCTAGGTTCAATGAAGACATACATTGACCAGAATTTCAGGTGAAATATTTTCAGTAAGCCATCCACTCATGGCAGGGAAAGTCAGGATTGGAGATCCAATGGTAACCTCCCTGCAACCTCAGCTATAGTTTTAAACTGACAAACATCCTCTATAATTAGGTGATCAATGCAGATTTAATATTCAACTTTAATTTCAAACCTGTCCAAGCATTCAGTCCTCCTGCTTGCATGACTTATTTGTACGCAAAGGTTTTGTTCACAAAGGAAGGGGATGAGGGGTACCCCTCCCTTTGACTGAAGTATCAAGTATTCTACCTTAGTGGCATCCATGTGGTGTGATGCATTTACTCAGTTGCACACAGAAAGAGCTGGAAACAAAGAACTGGGCTGTTCTTCCCATTTCTGATCGAAACATGTTGGAAAAGACTTTATATCATGGTGATATTTGTTATAGACTACAAAAGTATAAAGTTAACCAGATCTGGGTGAAATAAATTCTGTCACACTATTTTTTTTTTTCTCACTAGCAATGAAGAAAACCAATACAAATTTAACAACTAAGAGCTGGAATCACATTTCTTCCTGGTTTTGGTCCATTCTTCTTTCCTGTAGGCTTGTGTAAATGAGTAGTCATCAACATGGGGGATTTTTTTTCACTCTGTAGAGAACATACAGGTCGCCAGTGTCACCACTCTATGTCTGAAGTAACATTCTGCTTGTATTTCCTCCACTCAGTTACCACTAAAGCCCAGGATCCAGTTTTGTCAAGGGCTGATATACTGAGGGTGATGTACTGAGGGTGATGTACTGAGGGTGATGTACTGAGGGGTGATGTACTGAGGGCTGATGTACTGA